AGGGACATTTCTCGCATCCTGCCCAGCTGTAGTTTTCTCAACATGCCGCAATGCGATGTTGTAATAACTGGCGTACCAGAAGTTTCTCAAACTCGCTGTCGATCTGCTTTGGATCCACCTCTCTTTGAGCTTCAGCTTCCTTCGCATTGAGTGCCGAAACCACGGCCATTACCCGGGAATTTCTCGTCGGGTTTGAATTCCTCGACTCATCACTCGATCGGGACTCGGATGACACATGTCTGTGACCAGGCCTGCTCTGCGCCATTTCGGCATTTCGTAGTTTATCCGATGGCACACGCTGCACGTGGCTCAGCATCTCCTTCACTTTCATGGTACTGGCCGTGATGTAATCTGATCTCGGTCGGGGTTTTTGGTCCGGACGCTTAGCTAGCGTTGGCTGATGATAGTCGTAGAAGTTCCGTTGCTTTGAAGGAGAATATTGTCGGGGAGTATATAAGGACACCTCCTCCTCCAACGTCCTGCAGTTTTCCGGCACATAGACTCTGCCCGATTCTTCTTGCAACGGCTGAGTAGCAAACTGCGCCCATATCGGCGACGCCGTCGCTTCCACCGGGCTCATGTTCTCTTTGTCTCGACTGTCGCCCGAGGGCTCTTCCTTACGTCCCCGTTGGGATCGCTTTAAGATCGCTGACAGACTGGCGGATGATTTGGCCTTCTTCATTTTCCTTTCCTTTTCCAGAGCCTGTTCATCAGTCGATTTCGAGTCCTTCTTGTCCCGTATTAACGTCTTGAGGGACACGGAACTTTTTGTCTTCTTATGCAAGCCTTTCTTGTCTGAGGACTTCTGCTGACGAACACCGCCCGCCGCGTCCCGGTTGTGGGCTCTCTCTCCAAGAGGCTGTGCGTGTGGATGATCGGCGGGCAGAAAACCGGCAGCCTCGAAGGGATTCATCCCGTTCATCCGTCGCGCGATAATAGCATCACCTGCAGAAGGGCTCCTCCTGTGGCCCCTCGAGGGGATGATAGACCGCAAGACGGAGGATTTCGTGGACGGACGGCTTGCATCGTCGAAGATGGTTGGCGTTTGGGGATAGGAGGACATGTTGTTCGCTAGCAATGCAACTTCCTGTTATGAGCACATGAAACACAGGCCTAGTCTGAAGCCAGACGAGACGAAACACACCGACTTCTCCAAGCAACTCAACAAAATTGCCCGTCCACGAGACAACAGTCGAGGAACGGGCCACGCGAATCGCAGCCGCACTGAAGAGAAACGGTCAACAGGAAGAAGAAGACAACGGAGCCAGCCAGAGACACGAAGCGAAGAAGCCCATTCACCCAGCCCACTGGGGGGAGAAAGGAACGAAAACAAAAGAGCAGCGCGACGAGGTTGAAATGCCCGCCGGCGCTGGCCAGCGATGAGCCAAATCCACCGCTCTTTAGCTCGCCCCATGCTGCGGCCCGTTAGCACTTAGCGCTTGGCCGCCCCGTGCTGGTAAACAGCGGTGGGGAGGCGGTTGCTGGGGGCAACGACGCATCCCCAGCTGCTGCTGGTCCCTCGCGTCTCTTATCGATAACGCCGTTGGCATCGGATGAATGCTCTAAATATCCTAAATATCCGTCCGCGGAAGATTCGTCGGTGATTTTTGCCTCCTGCTGCTGCCCGCCATGCAAGGCGCGCCGCCAATATTGGGCCGTTGCATTCCACGGCCAAACAGCGCCAGAGCGAGGCAAGGCCTCTGGCATTCCGGGCAGGATTGTGGACTGGTAAAATACAATAATATGTAGATGCCATCTTCTGGTACGAGTCGTCTTTCCTGGGAATCGAGTCAATCGACTCGACGCGGCGCTAACGTGGCCAGCAGCAAAAATAGCCTGTGTACAGTGCTTCCCGTTGGACGATTGGGCCTTAGTTCACGAGGCTACTGTAGGGCTACTGTGAGCTAGTTACTGTAACTTTATTATTATTGTGGCAGCAGCGGTCAGCTATCCATCCAGCACCATCTCTGATTACGAATCTGTCCAGGGTAATATTGAGATCAGAACTGATCTCCGCCAGCATGCAGAGCGCGTCAACGAGAGTCCGCCGGGAGCGGGTCGGAGTCGGGCAGGCTCGGGATCGGGAGAATCCCCCGCAAGGTCCCCTCCGAGGCCTGAGCGTCTGCTGACGCTAGCTCCCGACGTGCACGAGTCGAGTGTGATATATCACCTCCTCTATATACGCATTGTGCGACACGACAGCAATTACTGGCATTTACGATTTGTTTGCCTGCGCTCTCTTTCATCTGATGTGTGCTCCTGTTTTGTGCTTTTTCCAGGTGCCTGCGTTTTCGCCATGAATCAGACGTCGCGGACAGACGATACTCTCCACCATCCGGGCTGGAACCAGAATCCCCCGCCCCTGAATGCAGATGAGACGACGAGGCAGGACTTAAATGGAATTGCCAACGCCAGGGAGCAGAGGGACCATACTCCCCAGGCCACCTGTCCCGGAGATGGCTCGTTGCAGTCTGATATCTTGCCAGTGCCCCAAGACCGCGACGATCGGCCGGTCAGAAAAGGGTCAACCGGGCTGGTTCTGGCTGCATCTGCAGCCGACCAGCCCGCTGACCGGAGCAAAGCGCTCACCGTCCGTTGTTCAGTTCCCTGGTTCCTTCGTCCACTCGTCAAATTCGCCGCCTTCGTGGGACCGGGCTTTCTGATTGCCGTCGCGTATATCGACCCGGGCAACTATTCCACCGACGTCGCGGCCGGAGCACAGAGCAGATATGCTCTTCTCTTCGTGGTCTTCATGTCCAATGTCTTTGCTATCTTTATCCAGTCGTTGTGCATCAAATTGGGGAGTGTGACCGGCCTAAGTCTGGCGGAAAATTGCAGACTCCATTTCCCGAAATGGCTGGTCATCATCCTCTACATTTTTGCCGAATCAGCCATCGTCGCGACTGACATTGCCGAAGTATTGCTCTCTTTTTCGTTTTTCGAAGACAATCACTGACATGGACGCAGGTGATTGGCTCTGCAATTGCATTGAATCTTCTCCTGAAAATCCCTCTGGTTGCTGGCTGTGTGATCACCCTGGCGGATGTGCTCTTCCTGCTGGCCTTCTACAGGCCCAATGGATCGATGTGGGGGCTTCGCGCTTTTGAATTCTTCGTCATGGCCCTGGTCCTCGGTGTGGTGATCTGCTTCTGCATTCAGCTGTCTATGCTCAGAGATGAATCTGTAGGAGAGGTGTTTCGGGGATATCTTCCGTCTGCTACAGTGGTCAAAGGCGACGGGTAAGCAAATTTCCTGAAAATCTTCTTTTCTGCAGATCACCAGCAGATTTCCTGATACAATCTTGCTAGCCTTTATCAAAGCTGTGGCATTCTGGGTGCAACGGTGATGCCCCATTCTCTCTTTCTGGGAAGTGGTACGGTGCAGCCGCGTCTCAAAGAATTCGATGTCAATCAAGGCTACTTCGACGACTCTGCATCTCTTACCGACGACGCAGAGGATTCGTCGTACCGCCCTTCTATTCATGCAATTCGCGGCTGCCTGAAATACTCAATCATCGAGCTCACGCTGTCGCTGTTTACATTCGCGTTGTTTGTGAACAGTTCCATCCTCATTGTCGCGGCAGCTGATCTGTATGGCACGCCGGGAGCTGCAAATGCCGATTTGTTTGGGATCTACAGTCTCCTGTCGACGTCGATCGCACCGATAGCGGGGACGATATTTGCCCTGGCGCTGCTCCTGTCCGGCCTCTCGGCGGGAATCGTCTGCACGATCGCCGGGCAGATCGTCAGCGAGGGCATGATCCGGTGGACGCTGAAGCCCTGGGTCCGGCGCCTCCTCACTCGTTCCATCAGCATCATCCCCAGCGTCATCGTCGCTGGAGCCGTGGGCAGGGAGGGACTGAACACGGCCCTGACGGCAACACAGGTGGTCCTGAGTGTCATTCTGCCATTTGTCGTCGCACCCCTCGTCTACTTCACTTGCAGGAACCGATACATGACCGTGCAGGTGGACGCTCGCACGGCCCCTGATGGCACCGTGGGAGAGGACGGCCCCCAGACCGAAACCGTCAAGATGCGAAACAGCTGGCCTGTGGCCGTTTTGGCCGTGCTAGTTTGGCTTGTCATCACCGTCCTGAACGTCGCTCTCCTGGTCTTGGTTGGTCTTGGAGATGCTTGATCGTTGGGACATCGTTGGTTACGAAAGATCGATGGATGATGCATTGTCAATCGACGGGTGTCACAGAAATCCTCATTGGAGCCGAGATAATCATCGAATCACGGGAGACAATCATGATGGCCACTAGGCCGAACGAAGCAGATTTTTGTTTTCCTCTATATAGTGAGAGCTGGGGGCAAAATTGCCAATTTTCTTTCATGCTCCTGGTATCTAATAAGTTATCCTTCACTGCTTGAGTGCATGCAACCGAGACCTTTCCCCATAGATAGATAGATAAGCGTATTTACAGTCAGAGTAGTTCAAAGCAGATGACGCCTGTGAAAGACTCGTAAAATCAGAGACGGGTCGTGACCATGCGAGGAGGTTTGTTCGTTGTTAAATCGTTAAGAATATTAAGATAATAAAACCAAAACCAGAAAGCATTCCCCATCGAGAACTCCACTCTACGCCGTCATCATAACTTGGAAGAGATTTTCTTTTTCTTCTTATCCAACACCGCCGGCCGCTTCTTTGACCTTGCCTTGTTCGGGCGGTTCGTCGATGAACGTGGGAGGCGCGACTTCGTCCTGCATGAAGCTGGGCAGCGCCTCTTCGCCCAGCTGATTGTCCAACATGGTCTCCTCGCCCAGAGCTTCCAGCTCTGCATCCAGCTCTGCCTCGTCGACGTCTTCGGGGATGTCGTATGCGCGGGAAATGCTTTCATTGATCTCATTGCCGATCTCCATCAGGTCCGCCATCTCGTCCTGCATGCGCTCGATCTTGTCGATGTCGATCTTGCCGTATTGCTTCTTGAGCGTCTTGGTCGTTGTCTTCATGGCGTCCACCGTCGTCATCACGTTCTTCAGGTTGTCCTGCATCATCGCGGCCTGCTCCATGTTCCACGACTGCTGCGATAGCTGATCCCGCTGCGCCTCGTACTGCTTCTTTCGCTGTAGCACCTTGAGCGCCTTCTGCCGGAGCGCCTGCTTGCCAGGGCCATCTCGCATCTTTGCTAGTCGCGACTGATACGTGGAGAGCTCTGAGTTGAGAGCGGCGAGCTTGACATCGATGCTGGAGATGCGATTCTCGACCTGGGACGCAGACTCGTTAGAAGTCTGGGTCTGTGCTCAAAGATGGGGTGGCATAAACTTACATTGGAGATAGCACTATCGAGGGTGGGCTTTGGAGCCGCATTCTTCGTCCCGAAGAGCCGGTTCATTGTTAGAGCGCCCTTTGAGGGCTTGGAGCGGGGAGTTGGAAGATCGAACTATGCAGCAACAGTGGCGATCAAGAGCCAGTCAATTTGCAAATCAATAAAAGAATCGAAAGATATAGCGCGTCGAAGAGATGTCCTCTGTGTTGGTCCGAATGGCGATCTAGGCCAATCGTGCGGGGTGGCAGATATCGTCGTCGTTGCTCGACGTCAGATCTAGCGCCGCCGTGCCTTGCCACGTGATCTGTGGCTTACATACGCGGCAGTACCGTACAATACAGTACAGGACCTGAGTACGGAGTACAGGGCCTGCAGAACAGCATTGCTCGCGCTGACCAGGCAGGCATCCAGTGAGCGCGGGGATCGAATTTGCGCGACAGCTCCCATGTAGGCTCGCTGCTGGTTATGTATGACTGATGTATGATAGGAGCGGATCTGGAGGGGATTCTTACAAAGGGGCCGTGCGGCCATTTGTAATTTGTAGCGGTACCGCCGAATGCGCGCAAGAACGCAGGGCAGCCCGGTATCAGCGACTTGGGCAGGGCGTGCCTCAGCAGGTCTCGTGCTACCCTCGCCGACTCTGGCCTTCCAGAAACACTTCCTGTCCGACCTACCGTCATCCGCCAAAGAGACGACAAGTCGACAGCACTGGCAGACGACCCCGAGGTGGACTTGTCCTCTCTTTGGTGCTGCTGGCCCCTCTTGCTGGCGTGATCCCGCTGACGGCTGCATCGTGTCCCGTGTGGTCGCTCCCCGCCCAGGCCCAGGCAACCTGGCGAATCCAGACACAACCGCTCTCGCCAACTCATCCATCCATCTCCCAGGCTGCCCCAGCCCGCCCACCTCTCTTCCTGTCTGTCAATCCTCCAGAGCGTTCGTGTCTCCACGACTGGCGGACTAGAGTGCCGTCGCTACCGGCACTGGCCTGGGGAAGCACCGCATCGCTGCGCTCCCGCCTGAGTCCGGTCATCCCGTCCAACTCGTCGCGTACCTTCAACCCTTCATCGTCACTCTCTTGGTGTCCGACGGTATGTTCCTCTTTCCCTCGCAGGCTGACTTAACCTCGCCCCGTCGCGTTTTCCCTTTGAAGGTCGCGACCCTGCGAACCCAGCCGGTTCCGGATGAGCCCTCCTAAGCGATCCCTGGCGAAGCCTGCTGACTGTTTTGTGTCCCTTCCAGCGCGCGGTCGCTCGGACTGTGTTTCTATCTGTCTTCTTTCCATCGTGCAACGACTGACGAAGATCATACGAAAAGAAAAAATTTCATCTACGAGCATTAGTCTCTGTACCACTATCCTGACATACCACACTAGACTCGTGTTTGCATCGTGTGCGCGCATAGATAGCGGTGTTACGATTTGTTTGCAGACGACCGAAAAACAGAAAACAACCGAGATACCCGCATTCATTTGTCCATGATTCTAATTTCTCGTCGGCTTTTGTCTCATAATAATTCAATATGTTCTGGCGTTTCGGGGGATACGCAAATATCTCCACCGTCGATACCCTCCTTGACAAACCCGATGTCACGCTCGAAGAATTGCTGGATGAGCCGGAGCTCATCCAGGAGCTCAAACAGCATAATACGAAACTCATAGAGTATTTGCGTGAGGACCATATTCTGAAACGATTGATGGACTATGTCATCGCCCTCCCCTTGTGAATGAGGAGGAGGAGGATCAAGAAGATGATGAGGGTAAGAGGGGCGGCGTAGGCGAGAAGGACGCTGCTGCGAAAGAGGAGGGGCTGGCCAAACCCAGGGATGAGATCCTGGAGCCTGAGGACCTCGAGAAAGCAGAAAAGCAGCGTCTGAAATATGCCTATGTCGCTTGCGAAATCCTGTCCTCGGAGACCTGGTCGATCCTGGAGTCGATGATGGTCAATGAGGCCTTTCTCCGGGACTTTTGGGAATTCCTGAAACGGCCCGCGCCACTGGACTCGCTCCAAGCAGGCTATTTTACGAAAGTCAACGAGGTGTTGTTTGACAAAAAGACGGAGGAAATGCTGGAATTCTTCAAGTCCTTGGAGGGAATCGTCCCAGCGATGCTGCAGCATGTCGATAACCCCATGGTCATGGATCTGCTCTTGAAGATCATCAGTCTGGAGAAGGTCGAGGGTGGTCAGGGCATTGTGGAAGTAAGTTTGCTCTTTTCCATTCTGCGACGTATGTTGAACGGTATTAACGTTTGACTATAGTGGTTGAAGAGTCAGAACCTTATCCCCATTCTTCTCTCTTACCTGTCCCCAGAGCATCCCGCTTCTGTGCAGACATCCGCCGGCGATTTTTTGAAAGCGATCATCACCATCTCGGCGAATGCTACGCAGAATGAGCAGTCTTGTATTGGACCAAATAGCCTTACACGACAGTTGGTGTCGGCGCCTTGTGTAGAGCAGCTTATCTCTTACATGTTGCAGGGGGGAAATGCTCTTACGGTCGGTGTGGGTATCGTAATTGAGGTTATTCGTAAGAATAATTCTGATTATGATCCCGAGAATGTGAATGGGCCAGATTCTCCACCCACCCTTTACGACCCTATATACCTGGGCACCCTTCTTCGACTGTTTGCCAAGCATATACCTGATTTTATGGAGTTGATCCTCAGCGACAAGCATGCGGTCATCGAGGGAGGCCAGAAAAAGATGGTTGACCGGGGGCAACTGAACTCGGCCTGGGGTACGAAGATTGAGCCTCTCGGCTTTGACAGGTTTAAGACCTGTGAACTCATGGCCGAACTCTTACATTGCAGTAATATGGGCCTGTTGAATGAGGTAGGCAGCGAGGACTATATCAGACAACGGGACGCGGAACGGGAACGATTGCAACAACAAGGTGCTTTTGATCCTCACAGAAAAGACGAATCCCTTATCGATTACAACGATACTGCCGGGGATTTTGCCAACGGGTCTGCACTGGGTTCCCAATCAGCAAGAGACCAGAAAGTACTCGAGGTGACCAACGCCGGCGAAGACGATGGCTTCGAGGATGTTGGGTCGTCGGAAGTGCTCGTAGATGGAGCCAAGGATGACGTGAGGGATGCTGAAGAGGCCAAGGAGACGGGGACAGAGCCACGAAATGTTTCCTCGCAGACGTCCAAGCTCGATATCAACAATGATCTTGTCGATGAGCCGCTCACTACTTCTGACGACAAGCTGGACGCTCGTGGAGATGCATCTGCACCGTCACAGCCACAATCCGCCGATCCTGTGTCTCCGACTGCTTGCGGTCTGACCGACAAAGTTAGCGAGATCAGGATAGATGCTGAAGAGGCAGTCCTCCAGGACTCTCAATCACAGCCCCAGGAATCTGCGGCTAGTGAGCCCGCTGGCTCGACCGCGGGACAAGAACAGCCCTCCGATCTTGACAAGACCGCATTGTCTCCTCATCCAGAAGATACGCCAGCTCCTCTGTTTGCCTCCCAGGCACAATCAGAGCCCAAAACATCGACTACGCCCGAGCCTGTGGATTCCGAAAATCCTCAACCGTCAGCACAAGGGCTGCCTGAATCCATCGGGGCTGGCATCGCTCATGCTGACGACGAATTTGCCCCGCAAATTCAATATGATCTCAATGGCCAGCCGGTGGTAGGAGATTACCTGAAGATCATGTTTGTGGAACACAAAGTTGTTCCTACGATTCTGGTAAGGATGTCCTCAACGAACCGAGTATGGGTATCTTTGCTAACCAGGACCTTCACTACACCAGAGCTTCTTCTTCCGGTTCCCTTGGAACAATTTCCTGCACAATGTAGTATATGATGTCGTTCAGCAAGTGTTCAATGGGCCTATGGACCGGGGATTCAACCGGTCACTTGCCATAGACTTGTTCGAGACCGGGCGCATAACAGAGCAAATTGTCGAAGGTCAAAGACGTAGTGACGAGGCCCAGGCGAGCAAGAATATGAGACTCGGGTACATGGGTCATCTTACGCTCATATCGGAGGAGGTGGTCAAATTTACCGAACGCCACCCTCCTGAGGTCCTCTCGCAGACAGTGATGGACAAGGTTCTGCACCGAGACTGGATCGATTACGTGGAAAAAACCTTGTCGGAGACCCGGGAGCGAGACAACGCGATCCTGGGTGGTGTGCGCCCCGACGTTATCGGTCATCGCCAGTCCGTCCTCAACGCCGTGGGCGCAACACAAGGCTTCACCGGCTCGGCAGCTCTCGCAAACGCAGGGTTGAATGGAGGCGCTGACGGATCGAGCTTTGATGGCTTCGATGCCTTGCACCAGGGGAGTGTCTCCAGCGGCGCCTTTGGCTTGGGTGGCAGCAGTTCGCTGCTTAGCGGCTTCGGAAGCTCGAGCGATGATGAGGACGAGGAGATGGAGGATCAGGATGATGAGGAGGGCAGGGGTACCACCGAAGCCACCACGGAAGGTGATTCAGAGAATGTGGGTGACACTCTTTTCACAGACGTTGAAATGGACGAGTCATGACAGCCGGTATCCTGTCGGCGTTCGCTTTTGAGGTGGTTGCTCCGAGTCAATTGGGCAGGGTTGGTGCATGATGACCACTGGGGAGTCTCGTGGGAGGTCAGCGAGGGTCTTTGCATAGAGCGTTTCAATCCAGCGCTTTACAAGATGTGTATGAAGGCAGTCAGGACGCTCTTGCAGCTCCTTGAGTTCGTGTCGCATCTTCTTTGGGCCATGTTTCCTACTAGTAAACCGCCGGTCAGAAGTCTGCCCAATCCCTGCCCGATTGAATCAAGCTGGCACCCAATGAATGCAGACTAACTGCACTCCACCCCGGATCTTTTTTTTACTCTTGTTCTTCTTATGGTCCACCCCTCGGAAGCCCTATTTTTGTCATTGGCTATTTTCAATGCAGTGCAATAATTGTGGTAACTCATTGCTGACATCTTCATTACTCTATAGGCAACATCCAGCTCCACGAGTCAACCGATCCCAATTCTGGCCCCGCCTCCAGCCCCTCTAAACTCCGGTCCATCACGAGCTCGTCGCCAGCTGGCTGCTCGCCTTTTGTCCAAACAGCAGGCTGCAGAGGCGGCAGCGAACGCTGACAACTCTTCTTCGGACTCGGAGAAGAGCTCGACGAGTAGCGGGCATGATGGGGACGATCAATGGCAATCAAATCCGTTTGTCATCGCCGGACTCGAAGATGACAACAACTCTTCGCATGCCTTTTCTTCTACCGATTTTCCATCGATTGACCGGGACGACACGTTATCGTCGCCTACCTTCCCACGCACGGGGTTCCCGCCGCCAGGGTCGCCGTCGACGAATTCGTCTGATGAGGCCATCGACGAATCCACAGAAGCTGTCAGACGAAAGGTGCGGATCCCTCTGGAAGTCGAGGATGATGACGACGAGATGGGTGAAATGGTGGGCCCGAGCTCTGGAACGGACCTGATGGACTCGGATGAGGAGGAAGAGGCCATTATCAATGAATCTCTGGGATACTCGAGTTTCTATGGGCCCAGCCGGTATGGCGGGTTTGGGCGATCCTATTCCAAGGATGAGGGCGGCCATTCGCTTTTCGATGACGATGCAGACGAGCACAACGATAGCAGTGATGGCGAAGACGATGGATTGGTTGAGATCCTAGTTCCAGGCAAAAAGTCATCCAGCGGAAGTTAACGCCTGTACATGATTCTGTCGATGCACGGCGATTTCTGTTCATTCATGAGGGAAACGGTGGCGGCCTCTTTCCCATGTCCACTTGTTGCATGTGTGATGACGTTCGGCCGGATATGTGCGGATATATATATCCATGACAGCTTGGTTTGGGCATTTCGTTGATATACCTGTACATTAGTGTATGCATGCAATTGATGTTTGAATTTGCAGTATTCGTTGCAAGCGGAGTAAGTAGTAAGGTGCTAGTTCTAGATAGGTGTAGTAGTCTCAAACAGATATCCTGGGCGAGATATTGAATTAGTCGCTTGAACATGAAGCTTCATTTCAAGAATAGTACCGTCCTTGATCTACTCCATTTCTCATAAACGAGTCCTGAGACGATAATAATCAAGGGAGAAAGAACTTCGGCACCATTGTCTTGTCTGTCAGGCGACTCACGCGGCCCGCGCTCCGTCCCAAATGCTCTTTGCTCCCCGCTCCCCGCTCCGCCGAAAAAAAAGTGGAACAGAAAGAACATCAGAGTTTGATTGATAACAACATCAAACACTGCAAGAGTATTAATTAATGAGAATGGTCTAGACTGTCTGAGGTTGGAACAGACTGGCCCTGATACGGCGCAAGAAGGCAGGCAGGCAGTCAACTCATCCAGCAGCAACTTGAGGGGCAATCAATTTGACTTTACTGCTTCGGAAGAAGCAAGAGAGAAAGGATGGCGGCGACGCCAGAGGTGCAGCAGCAAAAGTAAGTGAATTTGATTGTCTTTTTTCCTTTTATGGATTTTGCGTATTTTTCATTGATTTTTTTTTACGCAATGCTATATGTGTGCTGCTTTTGAGTCTGGGAGCTGTGCATACTGTACTGTACTGCATTATCTCGAGGCCTGGGTATCTATCTATCTACGTGTATCTGCATGCTGCCAGCTAGGGATTTAAGTGACCTTGGTCTAATTTTTTATAATATGTCTTTTTGTCTGTTTTGCTTTGTATTTCTTTCTCCGCATCCACGCTTACATACCTTCCCAGCTCCGACACCCTCAGCTCCCACATCGCTCTTCAGGAATGGGTGACCCAGCACGGGGGCCATCTCAATGAGCACGTCCAATTCGCCAGGGATGACAGCAGCGGCGTGCATATCCAAGTGAAGCCAGAATGGACCGCTGGCGTGCCGCGCGCCACCTGCGTGATCAAGACTCCCCTGGCACTGACCATGTCCTACTTTGACGCCATTGACTACAGTCCTTCTTCTTCGACCGCAGAAGGAGAAGAAAAGCTGTTCTCTTCCCGTGGAGTCGTCTTCCCGCGGCAGTTCATTGATGCCGTCGGTCCGGAGGAGACGACGGCGTTCTTTCTCATGGGCCAGTTCCTCAAGGGACCAGATGGGTTCTGGTATCCGTATATCCGGACGCTGCCCCGGCCAGACGAGCTGACGACGCCGCTGTACTATGACAACGAGGACCTGATATGGCTGAACATGACCAGCCTGGCCGCAGCTCGGCAGCAGAGGCTCCAGGTCTGGAGGACCAACTACGAGACCGGGTTCAAGGCGCTGAAGGAGTCGGGGTTTGAGGATGCGGATCACTATACTTGGTAGGTTGAATACATACATATTCAGCACTATAAGCTTCTCTCGAGCCTGTTTAGTCAGCGGCAATGTAACTAACCTTCGTTGACTGATTTACAAAAAGGGAACTGTATCTGTGGGCATCGACCATCATTGCATCTCGTGCGTTCACTGCCAAAGTGCTTGCCGGCGTCATCCCCCTGCCGGAGCTCCCTGAAGAGAGGATATCAGTCCTTCTGCCCCTGATAGACGCGACGAACCATCGGCCTCTGGCCAAGGTCGAATGGCAAGCGGGGAACGAGAGCATCGGTCTTGCTGTGACGGAGGATGTCAGGCCTGGCCAGGAAGTGGGAAATAACTATGGGCCGCGAAATAACGAGCAGTGTGAGTACATATCTCTCTTTCAGCATATCTCGATGTAATTAACTTGAGTGCTTAGTGATGATGAACTACGGCTTCTGCATCCCTGACAACCCTTGCGAATATCGTGTCGTCAGCTTGAGAGCACCGCCCGGAAGTCCTTTAAGCGTGGCCAAGGCCAGATACGAGGCTGAGTTCCCTGATGCAAGCAACAATGGTAAAACAGCAGAAGACAAATACTACGTCTTCTCCGTCTCCTATCCACTAGTCGATCCGCACGCCCCTCTCGAGTTTTCCATCTTCTCCCCCGATCTGCTGCGGGCTGTCTCTGTCATTGCCGCGAACGAGCGGGAACTGGAGACGCTGGAGGTTACGCGCGAGGAAGGCTTCCACATCCCGCTGGAGCACTACGGGAATACTCGCAACCTGTTCGCGGCCCTGAACCAGATCCTCCTCGAGCTGGTTTCGCATATCCAGAAACTGCACCTGTCAGGCCGCGACCTGCCGTCGTCGCCGAAGAACCTGAAGCAACTTCATTCAAAGATCTACCGAGACAGCCAGATCCAGCTGAGCAAGACGGCGATCATTTTCGCGTATTGGACACTCAGCCTTGCTCGAAGGGGGGCCGAAGAAGAAGAAAAGGCGAACCTTCTCAACTCATTCCTGTCTCGAATAACAGGAATATTCACCACCGAAACAATTGAGCAGATCCGGTCGAAGATCCTAGACAGGGAATCCCTCCTGACGAAAATCAAAGGCAAACATGTCCCGAAAGAGCTCTTCCAATTCAGGGAGTTGTTCAACCTCCTACCCGTGGAGATGCAGCAGCCCGCAGAAATCTGTCTTCGGACGATCATTTCTGAAGCCAAGCGCGCCATTGCCATCAGCAGCGATAATGATGGCCCATCCTCTGGCGATGAAGAGGAAGGGAACGGACCGCACAGCATCCTTTCTTTTGCGACATTCATCTGTTTCGTCGTCGCCGCTTATCGAAAAGCCAATGACAACAACCAGCTCTTGTCACTGTCACCCCGCCTGACAAAATGGTGCCAGTTCCTGCTCGAGAGATACCCCCCTCCCCCGGCCGACGTGACCTGGGTTCTGCCCGACGAAGACGACGAGGCTTTCCTACAGGCGTTTGACCAGGCAGTCGTCGAAAGTCATCTCCAGGACTCTTCTTCTTCCTCGACTCAGCTCTTCTCCCCCGTGGCGCATCTCGTTGGTGACGCGCCTGACCGTACCCAGGACGATAAAGAGGATGATGAAGGAGAAGGAGAAGACTGGTGGCTATCACCAAACTGGCTGCGCTGGGCATGGCTAGTCCTCGAGCAGGAGACGGTGATGAACATGGTAGATGATCCGGTGAGGTATCTCATCAACATGGACTACAACAACGACAACAACAAAGGCGCAGGGAAGCAGCCTGGTCCTGGTCCTGGTCCAACAGGGTTTTCCTTTTCGACGAAGAATTTCTTGTATATTCCTCAGGTGTAGGCAAGATTATTTCTAGGAGATTTTTTTCTGAAATGCTGTGAACGGAACGGAACGGATAGTCTATAGATAGATAGGGTTATGATGTACCGGTTATAGTAGACTTTGAAAATAGATCAATTCATCCGTCTATCTAGGCCTAGACGAGCTGATGGATTGCAGCGAAGCAAATCAGTAAGTAATTGGCATGGCATGCACATCGTAGCAACTGGTAGACTCGCTGGTAAGTGTCTGGAATGGATTGCCAGATTGGGCAAGCTTCTGCTCAACCTCACCTCACCAGACCAGCCCAGACCACACTTCCCACAGAACGCATCACAAGGTGAGAAATACCCATAAAACAAACGAAACAAAGTTGACAGACGAAAAAAAAAGCTCACACCAGGGGTCCTCCCTCCCAGGACCCTCGCTGGTGCTACGAAAACCCCTACTTTGCTTTTGGCGGGTAGGCAGGGGTTTTACTTATCACCTGTCTATAAATAAATTTTTTTCTTTGGTAGATATATATTGGGGGTTCCAAATTGGCAACACCCAGAGAGATTCGATTCGAACCCAGGCCGTTCATCTTAGCAAGGTATATATAAGAAAGAGACGGAGGCTACTTAACTACTGCACACCATCGCAGCCTGGGTTTGTTTGTTGACTGGGTAAGAGAAGAAATTGGAATTAATTATCTGCTACCTGGGCCTCCTAGGCTGCCTGCCTGCCTGCCTGCCCTCATCTGGTGGCAATCTAACGGTTAGGTTTAATAACCAAGTTAAGCTGCTAGTTGCAATACTATTATTAGTTTAGTAGTACAAACAAGCCTTCCAGGTCTCACTTTGCTCGACTGATTTGAAGAGAAAATACCTACCTACCTGGTTATGCCAAGGACTTTGTACATATCTCTGAGGTAATCTACTACTACTTCCCAGGCGGGCTCCCCACCTATATTCCTCACTGTTTATTAGTATTATTTCTCATATTTTATTAGTCCTTGTCATCTACTCCCTAGCCGGGCTTACTAACTATATACCTTGCTGTTGTAATCTCTTTTTTGCCATAACTCTAGCTATATAGCTATATCCTTTCCTAATATCTATGTACAGAGGCACGTGACTTTATACAAAACGGAAATCAATGGTTTTATAGTAAAAGGTGATGATAGTAGAGGTGATGATTAGAGCCCTTTAAGCTAGGGTCGATCGCCAACTTCATTCCTTCCAGCCAACCCTGTTGGCTATTCGTTTCACCACATAGACGAGCCCAAGCAGTACAGGTACCTCGATGAGTGGTCCCACCGAGGTGGCCAGGGCCTGGTTGCTGTTCGCGCCAAACGTCGCAATCGCCACCGCGATAGCAAGCTCGAAGTTGTTGCTGGCTGCCGTGAAGCTCTGCGCCGCAGCCAGTCGGTACCCGAATCCCAGTCGATAGGTAATCAGGAGCGTGACAAAGAAGATGGTCGCGAAGTAGACAGTCATTGGTGCCGCAACCCGCACAACAGACACGATCTGATGGACCACCTGGTGACCCTGAGAGGCAAACAGGATGAGAATGGTGAAGAGGAGGCCGATCAGTGACCAGGGGTTGATCCACCGGAGGAACACTCGGTCATACCATTGCGGACTGACAGACCGGATCGAAAACCGCGTCAGGATCGCAGCGCCCATGGGGATGCCCAGGAAGACCGCGACACTCTTCGCGGTCGTCGAATACGACAATGCGAATTGGTTGGGGGAGTGGCTGATGACTTTGATGAACAGGACCGCGAGGGGAGCAAACAGCACCATTTGAAGCAGCGCATTGATGGCCACCAAGATGGCGCCATATTCATTGTCACCGCCGGAGAGACCAATCCATATGAGAACCTGTTGATATCATCAACAACGTGAGCGAAGTGGCCTTGCTGTCATTCATGGTCAGGACAAGAAGTCACATACCATGGCGATGCATCGCGCTAAACCAACGAGAATGAGACCTTCTCGCAAGTCTGTCTGATCAGGCAAAAAGGCCCAAGCTAAACCCATCTTTTTTGAGTCAAAGAAACAAAAATCAGTACAAGAGCGACGTCTGGCGCGCTAGAAAAATGCCTTACCATGAGGAACGGGGCTATGATCCAGTTGACAAAGATACTGAAAGCGATCTGAATCCAAATCTCTCGAGTCTGGAAGACACGATGCAGCGACTCGAATCGTACCTTGCAGAGGATCGGGTACATCATGATGAGCAATCCAATCGCTTTTGGCGACGGGTTAGCAAAAAAAAAGTTATCGACTTGGGGAAACTCCTTTTGTCTCGTTGGAGATACTCACCGATAGGAATCGAGACACCGACAAAAGTGCCCCGTTGCAAGGCGCGCCCAGTGTTAGGGACAAAATTGCCCAGAATGATACCGACCGCCATGGCCAGGAAGATCCAAACTGCCAAAAAGGTATCCAAGATACCCAGACTCTTGAATGCTGACTGTCGCGGAGCAGCACATGTGCATGCATTGTTCAACTGGCCATCATCGTTTGGCTGATTTTGCTGTTTCTCCAGATCAAGCGATGCATGATTCGCATTGTCAGTCGCCGCATCTGGCATGGCAGTACTCATCACTAAAGAAATTGTATATTTTGACAAGTTCGCAATGTTAAAAAAAATTGGCGTAGATAAAAAACAATTAATTAAAGCGCTGAGACACAACAACTAACAGAGAGGAGAGAAAATAAGAATTGAATCCTCTTTTTTTGGAGAAAGACATCACCATCATTCCGATTTCGCAAGAAGATATGCGATATTAATTAATTACTGATAAAAAGCAATCGAGAAAATGAATGTCACTGCTCGAATGCGATTGGTCATATGCGGAGAAAAGATAATAGTGGGGCCGCATCAAATCCAGCCATTCATAATGCGTGGAAGCAGCCATGCCTGGTCGTTGCAGCCAATCATGGACAAGCAGCACTACATATCCATTGTTGATAATCTCCTGATATTGAGAAGCAGGCTCGATGGAAAGACAGAGCCTAAAGGAAAGGTATCAGGAGAATAAAATAAATAATTCAGACAAATTGAACTACTTCTGTGTCTTACAGAGAGACAATGTGAGTAATCATGCCTGCGTCTGATAGATGGCAATGCGTCCAGTCTTCATTGAAGCGCGAGGACTAGTTTCTGGATTTTGCTCTTCCTAACTGGGCTTTTGTCGAAGACGCGATCTGTTTCGGGCTTCGAAAGAAGCTTTTTCATTATTAGGTACCTCTAATTTCTGGGATAGCCGTACCTGAAATCAGCAAGGTAGTCGAAAAGTCAACGACTGTGAGCGCATTGTCTGGCAGCCTGCGGGACCATCACAACTGCCTCTTTCAGTAAAAAAATAAAAAGGTTGGCCAAAAAAAAAAGGTGAATCTTTGGCAGATAGTAAATGGCTATGGCAAGTAAAAAAAAGCTCACACCCCCCAGTACCAGCTGAGTAAGGGTTGCTACGAAAACCCCTCGTTTCTCCTTTGGCCAGCAAAGGCAGGGATTTTACCGACGACAGTGCGTCTCGAACCCGAGGCTCCCAGCTGACAAAGAGGAGGATTGGAGAGGGGAGCGGGCAGTGCGTTACACACTGAGCTAGGGGCCCCAGGTTCTGTTGGTAGGCGAATGGTTGTTGTGATATTTGTGCTGTCACGCTGCGTCATATTGCTAGGGTGAGTTTCAGTTCAGGCTGCCAGCTCCAGCCTCAGGCCCCAGAGTGCAGTCATGTGAGTAGCATACATGCAAATCAGAGGTAATTGCTATTCGTTGCTATGTATATAGTGTACAGCACATCATGCAAGGCCGTTCCCATAAATGCAAGACAGGGTTCTATAACCTAAGTAAATACATGACTCCTCAGACACCGCTCCATAATGCTTAAAATCAAAATCCAAAACTGTCTAGCAGCGAGTTCGCGTCCGGCTCTTCAAAGGTCGTTGGTTTGGGTTTTGGCTTCTGTTCTTCCGTTGGGCTCTTGATGTCGTTTGATATTGACAGCTCCGGATGACGGATAGGCAGGTCAGCGACAACAAGACTGCTGCGCCGTCTTAGATATTTGCGATAGTCCGTTGCATCCTCATCGAGCCTGGTGGGTATTCGGTTGGCAGATGGTGGCGGTGCGCGAAGGAACTCCCAATGGCGCACAAGATCAAGCGCCAGGAGATCGCAACCCATTCGATCGTATAGCCGTGCATTACGGAGAACAAAGTTCCATTCCGCGACAGGCGGTATCTGTGTAGCACCTTTTATAGTCTGCAAAGACTTCTCTCGTAGCTGCTTGTAGAGAACAACCAAGGCAGGGTCATTCGACAGGTAGGATTTCGCCTGCAGTGATATCATTCCTGGGCTTCCAGGGGTCGCAGGAGTCGGCGGGATCAAAGATTCAATAGGCGACTGAAAGCAATCGTTAGCCATCTGCAGGACCAAACATGTCGACGCAAACCTACAATCAAAGAGCGCACTGCCATACCGCGGCGGTTAAGCATCCAGAATGCCCAAGACGCCATCCACCGATTACCCTCTGCGGCAGCCTCTACAAGCACTTTTTCTTCGAGTATTTCCTTCAGGGTCGGCCCATCATCGCCCTCATAAGCTCTCGTGATAGCAATGGCCAATTGAAGGTCGCCCAGCTGATTTATGCAGACGTTGACAGCATCACGCAAATGGTCCGCCAGCAAAAAGAAAGCGGCAGCATACTCTGCACAAAATCGATTAGTAGAAGCCCCAACAACACTCAAACAAAAGGAACCTACCGAATCGACGCTTCCCAAGCAACGCGTACGCATTTTTCAATGCCGCAGTCTTCCATCTCGCCTCCTGAAAGTTATTGGCCAAGAGACGCTGAGTGGCAGCCTGTTCGCGATGCCAGTTTGCCATCCGCCACAATCCTTGTAGCACATTCTTCTTTCGCAGAGCTAAATAATAGAGAGAGCAGTCAACCGGGTTCTTCTCCTCCGTCTTTGTGTATTCGTTTCGAGCGACTACTTCCAGTTGTGCCCTCTGGTTTCCATGATCAGCCAGGTTCTCAAGCCGAATGTAATAGAAAGGTCATTCCTACCAGGGCCGTCAGGTCTGATAACCACATAAAGATACCACTCTCTCGCGCGGACTTCCACACCATCTTGCCATTGAATTGTCGGGATACCAAGTCTGTTAGTATATCCTGGCTGCCGCTATGCATTGCCCACACAATTTCTCTCCAGGATACAGTATTCTTGTTGGAAAGTCCCTGGCTTCTCCGCAGCATGTGCTGGCGAAAGAAGAGCAGGTAGCGGGCAGCATTATCATCCATCGAGCGTCGATGCTTCTCAACTGTAGCAACGCACTCTATCGTATCGGCCAGGCGGAACTGCTCCTGGCTTGATAGTTGAGGCAGTGTCACTCGTGTAAGATTTTCGTTTACGATGGCAGCCACATTCTCATCCAAGGTCTGCGACTCATCATCCGTGGAGAAATCTGCATATGAGGACCGCAGCTCCTTCCATGCTGCCTTTTGCATGACCTGTAGACATGGTTAGCGAAGTAAAGCCAAGGGGATTGGGTATCCTGACATCGGTCTCTCGATAGAAATCTTCGATAGGCATGCCAAGGAAAGAATCAAGCTCATCACCCTCGGTGTAGAACTTGAGCTTCCTATGCAGATTCAGCAGGATAGAATGAACCAGGTTCGTCTTGCCGGATAGGATGCATTGGGCAAGGAATTGCGGGTGGAACACAGGTAGCGGTCCATTCAGTCGAGACACGACGTCAAAGAGATCCACAACCGAACTACCATGAGAGGGTATACGCAACTCCGTAACAAGGCGGTTGCTGATCTCGATATGCCTGTCATACACAAACAATTGATTCCCCGCGCCAACAACCAGATTTCCATTGCTTAACCAGCAAGAGTCGCCGATCGGGTGAGGCGTCAGGTCACGAATTCGTATCTCCCTAATCTGTGTCCAGGATGGACCCGAGTCAAGATAATCATAACGGAGTTGGGACAGCAAGATGACTTTATGTGGAAATCCGACAGCGAGAATCGATTGCATGTCCGGAGTCGAGGTCCAATCGAGGTCGCGGATCATGTCATGGGGCAAAAACCGCTCTTCAAATTCCAGCTGAGCACCGCTCGTATCCCAAATGGTGAGGTGAGTGCGCTCTTGGTCGACAAGAGCAGCTTTGCGAATCGAGCTGCCGCTTGCAAGAGAAGGATTCGCAATGCCAGTTTCAACGGTTGACGTCAACAACCAATCTAGTTTTCCCTGCTCCTTATCAATTTTGGCAGCCCATGTGTGGATCGTTCCAGTAGGCGTATAGGAAATGGCTATATCGGCAGCGAAGGCATCAAGAAAATTAGACGTCTTGACACGTTGACCGGCAGGATCAACAGGCAGGATATAAGAGACGTCCTCTTCCAAACCTAGGCTGAAGGTACAGAATTGACGCATCAATGCGCCAGTTCCATTAGTGATGGCTGTATGGTGCTTACTAAAAGGCAGATGGATTTCCCAGGCGACACCTTTCATGTCTGCTCCAATAGTGGCCACGTACACCGGATTCTCAACAGGCTCCGCGTTAGGGATCAACAAGACACAAAGCGGCTTGCCAGACAACGAAAAATTGCAAACCGCTAGCCTCTCAGCAGGAGAGGAGCGGATATCCCATAAGGATATGCTGTGGTGGTGGAGATTCACAAGGAACTGCCCATCGCCAATCACACAGGTCCGATGGATATGCTCGGTAGACGATATCGAGCTCTGGCAAACAAGAACAGGACCAGAGCCTTGGGTCCTCTGTCTCCAGATCATAGCATTGTTGTCATCGGTTCGCGATACAAGAACATGTCCGCTTGCGTTGCGGACAATCTTCTTTATCGGTTCTGTGTGACCAGACCAGATCCCCCGCGATGTCAACCTGTTCTTGCGCGGCGTTGGGTCGAAGAGCACGTCCACTTGTGAGTCAAACCATTCTATGCGCCCGTCGAAGTGGTGGACCAAGATCGTCAATGAGTCTCCGGACGTGGAGGCTACAAACGAATAGAACTGTGCGTAATCCTCTTCGGGCGACGCGCCCGGCGCAAATGAGAAATGTAGACCCTCAATATGGAGGATATTGAAGACATCCGTCGGAGACCTTGCTTTAGAACCAACGTTCTCGAGAGCCCACGCAGACATATGACCTTTGCCATCAACGATGACACAGATCTCTGGACTTTTGTTCGCTACCTCAACGATATGTTCCAGAGCGAGGTTATCCTTTTTGGTATTCCGTTGCACTGCTCGTTCGGTTGCAGCCGAGAAATCTCGACTATCTATAATGAAACCATATCGACGGCCTCCCTTCTCAGCCTGCGCAACGTCCCTTGGCTGGATCGATTCATTCATATCAATCTCTGCCCAAAGCTGCATGGGTGAGACAGCCTGATGATCCGTGACCGTCCACACCCGGATCTTGTTGTCCGCACATATAGTATAGAGGACATTGTCCATCGATTGTTCGCGGTGGAACGGCTTTCGCCAGTGTATCCCGGTGACCGCAGCAGGATGAGGAAGATAGGAAACCTCGAACCGCACGTCGTCAGCACCGAAGGCCAATCTGCGCCAGATTTTGACGAGCCGGTCATAGTGTCCAGTGGTCGCAACCAATTCCGCGTCAGGAGAAAATTGCGCGAATTTGGCGGGGTTCGCCAGCTTTTTCTTCCATACAAGGCGAGGTGTGTCATTCAAGAACCATACAGCGAGACTGGAGTTAGCGACAAGGAGCTCATCGGAAGAGCCCCACGACAGCGTGTTGACAGCCTCATTGTCGTCTTGCGGACGGAAAGCGTGAGCCAGGGACCACTGTTTTCGTCCTTTCCCGTTAGTCTCAGATGTCGCCCAATCCTCGATGCCATCATCGAGGTCTCTCAAGTCTGCGACGGAGCTCGAACCTTCAGCGTCTCTCCTTTGATCCCGTATGGATGGTACACGAATATATCCGGCCCCCCACTCACAGCAATCCGACCTGTTGTTTCATCAATAGCGATGGCTTCGAGGGCTTCAGTTTCGTCCACGTAGATCGTCTGCAGGAGCGTCTGCGCTCCGCCGAGGATAACGAGTGCATGGCCGGAGATGTATGCCTAGCGGGACAGACCGCATTGAACAAGCATGTCAGCGACTAGGGCACCGGAAACTGCAGAATAATTGTTCACCAAAGCAGTGAAGTAGGATCTTTTTCTTACCACAATCCGAAGACCGTCCCACAGCGCGGTGCTGAGAGCCTGGAGCTTCGTTCGAGGCCTCCCCGGCAGTACCGCGCGCATAGGAACGGTGATCGCGTTCGGAGCCCACGGCGAAGCTTTCGGGGCTGCGTTACACCATCGCCAGGATCCAGGGGAAGAGAAAGTCCCAAGCTTTCTATGAAAATAAGTACGAGCGGGGAAGAGAAGTGATGCGTGTCGACCAGAAATGCCAACAGACGAAGCTGTGTTGCACGCCGGTTCTGACCCGAGTTAGCTGCCCGTCCTCGGGGGCGACGACGTCAACGGGTCAAGTGCTGCAGCCGTGTGACCATCCAGACCCTCCAATGACAACAAGAACAACATCTACAGAACTACAGCGAAGGTTGACTTGGGTCTACAATATAAGCTAATATCTCCACAGCAAAATGAAGAGAATTATCCAGAAGCTATGACGGCGGACCCAAGTCATCAATCCTGTACTCTTAATTCCGACCCAAGAGACGCAGCGATATTCACAATAATTGCCATCCTCGTACAGTTCGTACCATATGTGTATCATTTACCCAGGCAGTCAAGCGGTCTTCGAGCATAATATATCCAATCAGACATCGGACCTCCAACTGACGCCAAAGCGACTCTATGCACCAACCCGCAATGCAAGTGGGTATCATGCAGTCCACAACTCGATTCCAAGAAAGAGAAATGGAAAATGTGAGAAACAAGATCTAGCCAACCAATCATTACGATGAATTCAAGGGACAAAAAAAGAAAAGAGAAAGAGAAAGAAACGAACGGAACAGAAAAACGAATATATTGGACAGTCACGTCCACCCCTTCACTCTCTCCTTGCTGATCGTCGACTCTCAGTCGGCGACTCGGGCTCTTCGTCTACGAAACGAACCATAGTGCCAAGTGAGCTCCGTCTGCTTGGATGTCTGCTAGACGTCGTCTTTTCGGTCGTGATAGCCGCCCGCAGGCGACTAGCAAAGGGAGTATACAGCGGAGTGGCAGGAGTTGTCGACACGTTCTGTGCTAACATTCTAGCTCGTGCAGCTCGCTTCGACGGGGAACTCAAGTATCCAGGGGTGGCGATCGGCGTGGTCTGTTGCCCGTCAGGCAACGACATCAGTTCACTGAAATTAAGCGTAGGCTCTGATTCGGGCATCATCCCAGGCCCTGGAGTTTTGGGTTCTTGGCCTTCCGTTAATATCGGGCCGTTGATGTTGGATACCGTAGGCCCAGGAACTCCTCGAGCTTCGCGTTGTAACCGCGTTTTCTCAGCCCAGTGCCGGAGCATATTCTTAAAGTGCTTCCTTAGAATTCGCTCGTGCATCGCGTCGGCGGTTTCCATGGTGCTACGCAGCTGGAAAAGCCGAAGACTGAGCTTGCGAAGCTGGGCTGCTGCGAGTCCCGAAACGTGCAGCAGGTCCAATCCTACGGCTTGTTCTTCAAGGGCGCGGTATTTCTTGGAGTTTTCGATCCAGCGTGTAAGCATATGATAAGCAAGCTGCCGGTGATAGTAGACATCAGCGTCATGACAATCCTGTGTTATCTTGGCGGCCTTTTGCTGCCATCGCTTGATTAGCTCTGAGGCAATCCTGAGCAATTTGCCGCGTCTCATCTGCGTTGCCTGTTGCTCCATCTTGGCCAAGTGTTCTGCTTTAGCTCGCAAACAGGCCAAGGCACTGGAGGCAAGGTTGATTTTGATCTTCCTTCGCACCTTGGCATAAGCTTCCTGACGACGTTTCTTTGACAGATTCACTGTGGCAGCGTGCCACTGTTTGATGGACTTCGTCGTCAAGAAGTAGAAACGAGCATCTTGAGCCCATCGTTCTAGCTTCTTAACGTGTTCGTGTTTAGATGTCCAAATAGCGAGTGCCTCCTGCTGGATTCGAGGGGCGTAAAATTCCGACGCAATATATTCTCGTTGACGTTGGAGAGCGAGCTGTTCCCGCCAATGAGCGAACTTGGACCGGAGCAACTCTTGATCGCTATGCAAGCGATACTGCTTTTCTCGATGCATCAATTGATTGGATATAGCACGAGCATTCAAAATAAACATGGCAAATGCTTCTCGCACAATGCGTTGTTCTCGAATTCGCTGCGCCAGGCGGAATCTCTCCGCCAAAACCCATTTATAAATCGCCTCCATCTTCAAGCGTTCCTCGATCCGTGCACTGAGGGCTTGACATCGCAGCCGATCATTCCACGCAGTCCACGCATTACGCATTACCCTCAATCGATCAACTTCTTTCGCTTGTTGCAGAGCTTTAACACGGAGTATCCAATGACTAAACGCAGTCTGGACAATTCGTCTGTCTGTCATGTCAGATACTCGAACAGCAGCCGAGGACAAACGGGCCTGGGCTCGCCATTCCTCAAGGTCACTACTGAGAATCTTCTTTCTGTGTTTTGCGTCCGCTTCCTTTTGAGCAGAGACCAGAGTCCGTGTTCGCTGCATCCAGGTCTGGAATGCGCATTGGAGGAGGCCGTGTCGATTGCGGTGATCTATCTCTTGGTCGCGCTCCCTTTGCGTTCGCAGAGCTCGAAGCCAGCAGATTAGCGACCGTCTTTTGAGACGATAATCATACCAGTCGGGAGCGGGTCGCCGATAGTAAAAGTCCAAAACCCAGCCCCGATAATATCTCCTCTTCAGATTCGCAGTGTACACAGCCTCTGCGGTAGCCTCACCGCTCCGGATCTGCTGCAACTTCTTTTTCCAGGTGTTCAGTATTCTTTTTAGGGCAAAGCGTTGAGCCTTCAGCTCGTTCACAGCTGTTATCTCCCGCCACGCGTTGAAGTATTTGATGCTCAGAATATGCCGACGCGCCGCAGAGGCCCTTGAGCGTTCGTCTGAGGTTAACTGTGCCCAATGGGTGAATGCTTTTGTCATAAGGTACAGATCTCGAGCTCTTGCAGCGCGCTTCTCCAAATGCTTGAAGAAGCGCTCCGTATGAACCGTCTGGCGTTTCTGTTGTAAGCCAGCCCGCCACAAATGAAACGCCTGGTGAAGAAGTGTCATCCTATCCTTATTAGCAGCAAGGGCTTCCATGTCCCGATGGCTCTGCTGCAGACGAACAGCCTTCTCAAACCATTGTATGAGAATTTGCCTAGCTAGCGCCCTTCTGCGATACATGTTGAAAGTTGATGCATCCCGTAGCAGATCCGAAAGGCTAGGCCTGTAGGCCATTTCATTCACGTAGTCCTCGTTCTCAGTTGGCGCACGGTCATCTATGTTAAATGACTCTTCACTTCCCGTAGAACTGCTCGACGAAGTGTGAACGTGGGAAGCTCGGGCAGATGACGAGCTTCGACGCCCATTAACAGTTCCCGGAGGAGGCGCAGGTCGAATGGCTTCTCCATTGACAGGAGTTTTTTCCTGGTTACTGACTGTTTCTTTCAATGGATCTAGCCCACCCATCAACCTCCGTCCCATCTCCAAGAACTGGGCCAGCAGTTGATTCCTGTTCGGCGACTCAGCCCGTTCTCTAGGTAGAGAGTTTCGTCTGGATGGTTTTTCGGTCTCTGGGAACTCGGGCTTTCCAACTTGCAATCGGGACATGGAAGACCGCGAACTTGGCCTATAAGCACTTCTCTGCGTGGCGTCATCGCCGACATCATACATTGAATTGAAAGAAGCCCGTCTCCTTCTGGTTCTCTGCGTTGTATCCTCCGTTCGCGGCATATGGCGGTCCGGGACCTCGCTTCGCTGGCGGTCTGCAGCAGCGGAATGGGATGAATGCTGCCCACGATCCTGATTACTCTCGTATTCGGTATCATCCACCTCAAGGACGATGCCCATTTGCCGTAGCAGTTCCTCGAACTTGTCGTACAGTGACTGCCCGCGCAAGCCTTTCGTGCCCATCTTGAAGAGAAACCGCATGCAGACCTGATCCTGGTCCGCCTCGGGCCCATGTTCCGCGAGGACTTCATCGTACGCCGCAAAGAGCGCACGAAAAGGGAGGCGCTCAACATCTGGCTTGCGCTCGGCACGGGTAATGATCTGGTAGAGGAGACCGACATCTGTAACACGCAACGCATGTCAGACGCACAAAGCGCCATTATGACGAGCTGGCAGATCCAGGAACTGACCTTGATCGGAGAGAGACGGGTCCTCATCCAATAGGATTCCACGTTGAGAAGGAATTGGAGGCATCGAAAGTTCCGCGACCTAAAGCGCTTTTCGCTGACAGGACATAGATGCGGAAGGCGTCCAAGGTCATCGCGGCGATTGGAAGGCACTGGCGATGGATGTATAGAAGATGGAGATGGCGGTCGGCCATGTATCTGCCTAGAACACCGGCAGCAGGCTATGACAATCAATGCCTGTTATTCAAGCGCGCAACACCATAGTGCCTTGCTTTGTTCTCTCGAGTACCATTATTAGTGTTGTTTGTTATCATACACTTCCATGCGTGTCGCGCGGCTACCAGCTGGGCATGCACAGTGGGGCAAGCATAGCCAATCACAAATGGTTTTCAAACATGGTTCGTGTCACGTGATGCAGATCTGGACAGAGCGTCATCTCGTCATAGATGGTCACTGCGATCACAGTGGTCAAAGGGGCGTTGACATTAAAGGGTTATTTAAGAAGGATTTCCTGCTGCAGAATGTCAGGAAGAGTCAGGCCAATTGAGAAGTTTGCACAGGCTGTAGCTCAGTGCTCAGCAGAGGTCTGTCCTGGGCAATTGGATCGATTTCAACAGCACAGCCTTGACTAACCCAACCCCATTTTGCAGGCTGCAGCATATGGCAAATGCGTTGTTGCAGACTACAATGCTGTGCAGAAGAACATGTGTGCCAAGGAATTTATGAAACTAAAGGAGTGTTATCTGGTACCGCGCGTCCTCCTTCGATGTGTTTAAGTCATTCACTAACCGGCATACAATAGGCGGCGGCAAAGAAAAGATAACCTAGAGGGATTCAATCTATCGTCCCATTTTTGTTGCTAGATTTTATTTATTTATTGACATGGGATGAAAATGTTTGACAGCAAATAACTTTTATAATACCCTTAAAACATGGTCTGTTTATGAAACCTCGATACAGACTTGTCTAGGCCGTAACGAGGGCTTTTCTAAAGCTTCAGCAGCCGCAACAAGAATGTGGCTTTTTGAACTTCCTGTTCCTCTTGCATTACGTTGCCTTCTTCTTGGTTGAGAATCTCACCATCGATATGGGTCAGCACGTGGTGATCGACAGGTCTTCGCAAGGCCTTCTCAATAGCCTTGGCTTGCATCAAGACGATGCCCATGGGAATCAGACCAGCTTTCTTACGGAGTCGTTACACTTGGTTGATGATTTCTGATTTTGCTACCCGCTCGAACCACCTACAGGTAGATACGCCCGTGAAGAATGATATGGTCATGATATATATATTTCATCTACGCTTCACTTTATAACAGTTAAGGGTATCTTGCCCACTCCTTTGAGGTAATCAAAGGAGTCGGGGTTATCAATCCACATCATCATTATCATCATCATCATCTCCGCCGGAATCATTCTCATCCTCAGATTCTTCTTCGGCCTCTGAAACTTCCTGTCCGAGTTCTTTCAAGCGTCTCTGCTCAATCGTTAGTGTCAACGCAGAACCGAAGTACAACGGCCTTATTTGGTAACAAACCTTGTCTTCGTTTCTCTTGGCTTCAAGATCTCCAAACACAATCAGAAGATCTTCGAGCTCACTTTGTACTTCCTTACGAGCTTTCTCTTTGCTCTCCACTTCGGCTTTGGCCTTGGCTAGTGCTTCTTTAGCTTCTATGAGATCCTGCTCTACTTTGCGAGCGAGCTCCTCCGCCTCCTCCGCCCTTTCTTCGGCGCGTTTGGCCCGTTCTTCCAATGTAGAGCACTTAGCTAAGTATTCTTCGTGTGCGGTTTGGAGGTCCTGAATGTGGTCCTTGTTGGCTTTGTCGAGGTTTGATTCCAAAGTTTGGATCGTCTTCTTGAGATCAGACACCTCGGCTTCATGACGTTGCCGTACTTGAGCGTTCTTCTTCTCGTAGTCCGCGGTGGTCTCCTTCAGCTGATTGTCGATAGCTCGCAACCGTTCACCGTGCTGCTTGAGTAATTCATTCTTTTCTTGCTTGTGCTGTTCTTCCAGTTTCGACATTTCAGTTTCGTGATTTCTCTGTAGAGCCTCGTTGATTTGTTTTATGCGAGAAATCTCAAGACCAGTGGACTCCTTTGTTCTCCGATGATCCAGCTGTTCTTGTTCCAGTTTCTGCTGCAAAGCGAGCAGATCTGATTCCAATTTTTGAATAGTCTGGTTTCGATCATCAACTTGGGCCCGGAGTGAATCAACAAGTTCCCGTGAGATGCCCTTTTGAACACCATTCGCGATCACAGGTATTTCCAAGCCAGGATCTCGATCAATCGCACGTATCAAACGGCTGAAGTTATCTTTCAGGAATTCGATAAATGTCCGATCAAAAAATATTTCCGGAAGTCCACCATCATGATCTCTGCGCGCTGTTTGGGGTAAGACTTCGAAATCCCGGACGAGAGGGTCTTCTCTCAGCTTGGTAATCTTGTCGATATACTGTTCTCTCCCAAGTCTACTGCTTAGCAGCTGATGTAGCGTCTCTCGTGGTATCGGAGAATCCTTGGATGAGAATTCGTAGATGATCCCAAGAAGAATGGAACACAATCCCGGAACAAGAACATTGCCAAGGCGGCTTTGCTTAGTCTCCTGGATCAGACTTTGAATAATGCTTCCCTCCCCGAGGAAATCATTGACGGCATCTGGCTCTTCGAAAAGCCAACCGCACAGCAGCATGAGATAACCGATAGACATTCTCTCATCATCGCCTCTCTGCATTCCAGTGATCAAGTTGCCCGCTATCGTCTGGATACATGTGATAACCTCTTCGCCGTTCTCTGCATTTCCTTCGGTGACTTTCATAGCAAGAGCTTTTGCCTCCGGGTCTTCGAAGAGAAGATGGAACAAGAGAACAGCGGCCATCCATTTCCGATAAGGATCAGCAATTCCCCGAGACTCTGGTGGTTCTAGCAAGACAGACAGGATATTTGGGATCTGATCATTCCCACTGACATGGCCCTCAATTGCTCTGCGCAGAACGTGAATGCGGATTCCAGGATGCTTTGCAAAGAAAGCCTTCATACATTCGCAGGCGGCAAGGCGTGCATCCAAAATGTAAAGGGGCGCCGGCTCAAGGGTTAGTTTGAGTAAGGCTTCGATGACGTTTATCTTCCGTGGTGCTATGGCTTTGGAGTCGCCGTTAGACAGCTTATCCTGGCCAGTTTGAGGATTCCAGGAAACCTCAATGTCTGCGAATTTTTCCTGCAAGGTTGAGTTCCCGCTAATTAGATCGGCGCATGTTCCCAAAGCCTAAGGGAGGTTAGTATTAGGTCGATACGCAGATGGTGCAGGACAAACCTTGGCTGTGATGTTCACATCGAAATTGTTGCTAAATGCTATGCGTAATACCTGTTCCATAACGCCATTCTGCCAGAACGTTGTCTGGTTGATAGGGGTGCTAATGCCGCCTCGAACTAGAAATAGCTGTATGATGGTTAATAAGCCCCAAAGGTTCTTGTCTCGACGAGCAAGAACCCAGGGTGGAATGTCTTCTTCCGTTTCCTGCGCGGTGGTGGCATCGGTAAGAAGCGTCACAAGCTTCTTTACACAACCCGTTTCCCTGAAATAAGACTGGTTTGAAACATTCAGCCGCAGAAGATTGGCCAATAGTGAGAGGCAATCTTCCACCACTTCAGACCCGTGGGATAAAGAACCTTCTGCCTCAATCAACGAAAAAATCCGCTCGAAAGCATTTTCAAAGGCGACCAGTTTCTGGAGTTCGGCCGATGAAGGAGTGAGAGCAATAAGAAGCACAAGAGCCTCTGAGGAAAACATATATGTTAGCTGCGCTGTCAGATACACTTGCTTCGAGAACCATTCATACCGTTTCGTATTGGCTCTCTAGCATCACTAAGTACATTTACAAGTCTTGATATCCCCAGCGGAGCAGTAAAAATACACTCCTGTGTCCTATCTGGTCGTGCGGCGGAAATCTGCGATATTAACTGCAGGGAATACAGCCGAGAGTAGAAGTCCCGGGAGTCGAGGAGATCGAGCAGGGCAGTGATATTGTCTTGGCGCTTTCAATTTTATTAATAGTCACGTCAAGGGTAATGGGCCAGGGAGGCGTACTTGTGTGAACTCGTCGGCAAGCCAGAGAACAATTTCATCCGATGCTTCGGGCTGTTCAGACACGTCAATTACAGTCCATTTGCAGCCACACAAAGGCAGGTACGAACGCTGTTCTCATCTGGAGAAAAGAGCATCAATAGAGTCTCCAGGACCACCTTGATTGTGTCGACATCCTCAGCATCCTTGCGGAGGCTGTTGATCAGATCCCGCAATGCACCTGAAGCAACCGAGGCAGGGTAGGTTTTTGCAAAGCTCCTTAAACCGAGAATTGCAGCCCGTCGATCCTCCAGCAGGGTAGCATTTTGCAGTCTACTGCTCAGAGTATTTATCGTATCCGTGGCCGTCTGTTTGGCCGGCGCCTGCGACTCAAGGATTCGAAACATGGCGGCGGTCACGTACTGTCATGGTCACCGCAGACCCAGCACCCTGTGATTGACAGGCATTGAACAGTGGCGTGAAAATAGTTATTGGAACGGAAAGAAACAAAATGCGTGACCGCCAGCAGAATTCCGCCAGGGCAAGCTCTGTTTGTTGGTCTGCGGAACAGCAAGCGAGCTGTACACTCGGTCAAGGCCAAGTAGATCGATGCATGTGCCTGCGGCAGCCAGCCAGCTGCTGCGTGCCCGTCCAGCGCCACCACCCGTCGCTTGGGCGATACCAGAAACGGCTAGCCTCTCTGGGGCTGCGGAGCCCAGGCCGGAAGAACGTTGCGCCGACGGAGCTGCGTATCGCAAACCCTTCATGGCTCCGCGATCACCAGATTTCAATCGTCGTTATCGCCGCCGTCTCCGCTCGTGTCCTCGGGTCTTTAGGCCGGAGGTGTCCCATGTTTTTGACCGCGGTCGCTATATTTTCTGAATTAGGTCTCCATCTTTGGAGACTGACCGTCATCAGCTCTCAACACCTGTCAATGGTGCAGGCCGGCCAAACAGCCTAAATAACGAGAACTCGAGGAGAGAAGCGGCTGCACGTCAACCACCATGGGTGTCCCAGCGCTGTTCAGATGGCTGTCGGCCAAATATCCCAAGATCATCTCCCCGGTCATCGAGGAGCAGCCCTACGAGGTTGGCGGTCAAGTGATCCCCGTCGATGCGACGCGTCCGAATCCAAATGGCGAGGAAATGGATAATCTGTACCTGGATTTCAACGGTATTGTTCATCCATGTACTCATCCGGAAGGAAAGCCAGCGCCTGCGAATGAGCAGGAGATGATGCTGGAGATTTTCAAGTACACGGACAGGATTGTCAATATGGTCCGGCCGAGGAAGCTCTTGATGATCGCTGTTGGTATGTACCTGGTTCAATCTCCTGAAAACTTCTCTCTCCTTCAACCATTTTGCATTGTCATTCTTAATGTGTTCACTACAATTGCTTGATTTTTCAGTCTTCGATTGCGGAGAGATGCTAACGTGTATCGCCTGCTTAGATGGCGTCGCGCCCCGTGCAAAGATGAACCAACAGCGCTCCCGTCGATTCCGGTCCGCCCAAGAAGCAAAGGAGACAGATGAAAAAAGGGAAGAATTCCGGAAAATGCTAGCAAAGCAGAATGGCACCAATCTGGACGAAGAGCTCCAGGAGCATGTTATCAAGAAAACATGGGATAGCAACGTAATCACGCCTGGCACCCCGTTCATGGATATATTGGCGGCTTCCTTGCGATATTGGGTCGCGTACAAGCTCAACACCGATCCAGCATGGGAAAAGGTACGTATGAGGTAACATACTTTTCGAAACTTTCTTGCTGACTTAATATAGTTGAAAGTGATTATATCGGATGCCACCGTTCCCGGAGAAGGAGAGCACAAGATTATGGAATTCATTCGATCACAGAGAGCATCGCCAGAGCATGACCCCAATACCCGTCATGTTATGTACGGACTGGTTCGTATCTTGACCCTTTTTTTTTCAGTTCTCGTCTCGAAGATGTACTGACTGACTGGATAGGATGCCGATTTGATCATGCTGGGTCTCGCCACACATGAGCCACATTTTCGAGTTCTCCGAGAGGACGTCTTCTTCCAAGAGTCAAAACCCAGAACTTGCCAACTTTGTGGTCAAACAGGCCATAAAGCCGAGGAATGTAGGGGTCAGGCAAAAGAGAAAAGTGGTGAATATGATGAGAAGCACAAATCAACTTCGCTCAAGCCGTTTATCTGGCTGCACGTGTCCGTTCTGCGAGAATATCTAGCCGCCGAACTTTATGTGCCGCGACAGCCATTTCCGTTCGACCTGGAGCGAGCACTGGATGACTGGGTCTTCATGTGTTTCTTCGTTGGAAATGATTTCTTACCACACTTGCCATCACTTGACATTCGTGAAAACGGCATTGATACGTTAATTGCCATATGGCGTGACAATATCCCGCTTATGGATGGATACGTCACCAAGGATGGAATTGTCAATTTCAAACGTGCGCAGCTCATTTTACAAGGTCTTGCAAAACAAGAAGATGCCATCTTCCGTCGCCGACATGAGGTAGAGGAAAGGAAACTTGCCAATGAGCGACGGCGCAAACAGGAGGAGAAGATGCGGAACGAAGAACGTGCCCGGAAACGAAGAAGGAGCTCTCCAAGTTACGAAAGCTACGAGTCTCCGACTGGCAACAAGTCTCATGGTCATGGAGGCGACTTTGCCGTCCCAACAGATGTGCCTCTCATTACACCTAGCCGAGGAGAATTATCAAGGGAAACAAGGGAGTTAACCCACAGCCTGGTTGTCAACCGCGGGGCTGTTTACAAGGCCAACATGGCCAATAAAAGCGCCGCTGCAGTGCTCAAAAGCCAGTTGCTCAAGGGTTCTCAAGGCGATGCCGACCCAGCTAACGGCGCCTTGAATGGGAATGACGCTTCCGATGACACACCGGAGCAGACGTCACCGTCGATCCTTGGTAAAAGGAAAGCCGAAATCATGGAAGACGAGGAGGACGAAGAAACAGTGACTCCTCCCAAGGATGAAGACGAACTGCCTCCGGATACTGTTCGATTATGGGAGGAAGGATACGCTGATCGATACTATGAACAAAAGTTCCATGTAGATCCCAAGGATATTGAGTTTCGGCATAAAGTGGCAAGGGCATATGCTGAGGGCCTTCAGTGGGTGCTCCTGTACTACTTCCAGGGCTGCCCCTCTTGGACTTGGTACTACCCGTATCATTACGCCCCTTTCGCAGCCGACTTCGTCGACATTGGCAACATGGAAGTACATTTCGAAAAAGGTAAACCTTTCCGGCCTTTTGAGCAGCTGATGGGGGTTCTGCCGGCATCCTCGAGCCATGCCCTACCGGAGATCTTCCATGATCTCATGCACGACCCAAACAGCGAGATTATCGACTTCTACCCAGAAGACTTTGAAATCGACTTGAACGGCAAGAAGTTCGCTTGGCAAGGTGTGGTCTTGCTGCCTTTCATCGACGAGAAGCGGTTGCTGGCCGCCATGGAAAAGAAGTATCCACTTCTATCCGAGGAAGAGAAGGCTCGCAATACAGCGGGAAAGGATATACTCCTGGTATCGGATCGTCATCCTCTCTACAAAGAACTGGCTGCAAATTTCTATTCCAAGAAGCAAGGCGCCCCGAAGTACAAGCTGAACCCGCGTATTACCGGAGGCTTGGCTGGTAAGGTTGAACGCAACGAGAACTACATTCCCCACGGTTCTTTAGTGGCCCCTTTCGAGGATGAAAATATGCCCGGCCTGGATGAGGATCGAACCATAACGTAAGTATCCCTGTCCTCTGCCCCATCTCCGCCCCTCTCGATGATAGGACACTGGCTAATACTCGACAGCGTCAATTACGAGATCCCCAAGTCCGTCCACGCCCACAAGTCTATGCTCCTTCGGGGAGTGAAGTTTCCGCCGCCCAAGTTGAATCAAGCAGAAATTCAAATGGTGAAGTCGAAAGCCCAGAATTCCGGCCGCTCGTTCGGAGGAGCTCCTTTGCACAACGGTAACGGAGGCAAAGGTGGTCGGATAAATTACATGGCTGACAGACCCAATCCCTTCGCCGCGCACCTTGATCCTTCTTTCGTGCCTCCGGCTTCTGTTGGAGGTGTCCCGGTACCAGCTCCTGGCTGGGCTCCTCCACCACCTGGCTACGCAGGATATTCCTGGGGTCCCCCACCGCCACCGCGGGGCGGCGGCCCTGATTCCTACCGCCCTCAGTATTCCTCTGGTCCTCCTCCGCCGCCACAGGTTCATCAAAATGCAGGCTTCTACGGCCAAGCTAGTGGCTACAGCTACCAGCAACAGGGTTCGCACGGTTACTCCGGCCAATCTTATTATCAGCAAGGCAGTTACTACGGCGGTCAGCAAGCTGGATCCAGCTACAACGACCGTCGGGAAAGCAGCAACTATCGTGGAGGATATTATGGGGGCTCTCGACAGGGCCGCGATAGTTATCCTCCAAGACGCAGTGATGGCTATGGCCGTTACTGAACTACTGAGCTTCTTTGGGTTTCTTTGGCTGTCGGCGAAGGGGGGATTTTCGCAGGGTCCAGTATCTGTGTTTATTCGGGAGTTAAGGGTTGAAAGTCTTCAAAGTCTTCCAATGCGTGGTCTGGGATAATTGCTTGATGATAATGTTCGTCATGGTGTATATACCCAGATTAGGTTAGTAAAGCATGGGATGGATGTTATCATGTTTTTGACCCTAATCTTAATTTTCGGGCTGCTCATTGGCCTGTGTCTGTAGCGGTGTAAAGCGGCAGAATGAGGTCGTGACATCGGAGGCCGGCGGGGAACCAAATTTGACACGGCCCGGGCATTCTGAGTCAAGAGCTCAGCGAACAAGAGGGAATACGCTTCATTGACCCCTTCAGCTTCAGTAGCGAGTAAGGCTTACCTTTTCCATGCTGGTTGGGGCCTGTCACCGGTCTTAGCCCCAGTTGTGATTATTCCGATCCCTAGCTGACCGTTTTTCAGGGCCCAGCTCTAGAGCCGTCGCGAACCTTGCCAGAACGTCTCGTTCGTCGTCCAATTGTGAGCGTTCGATACCCGGCATACCAATAGTTTCATATCTTTCTTGGGCTCTATTCTCAGTGAGCTGTCGAGCAACGGACTTAGGAAGAATTGCGTCATGAATTGAAGGAGAACGACAATTTTCTAAGATTGAAGCCACCTGCTGATTCTCGCCATCCCGTGAATTGGATTTTCTCCCTCGACCAGCACCATGGCCGAACCGACAAAGATCAAGGTTCTTGGCCGTGAGAGTATTGTTGCCGACTTTGGCATCTGGCGGAACTACGTGGCTCAGGACTTGTTATCCAGCTGCTCCTCCACGACTTATGTTGTTATCACTGACACGAACATCGGCCCCATTTACGCTCAACCTTTTCGCAATGCCTTCGAAGCCGCTGCTGCCGCCGTGTCTCCCACTCCCCGTCTGCTGATTCATGAGATTCCTCCCGGCGAAATCTCGAAGTCTCGTCAGGGCAAGGCTGATATCGAGGATTGGATGCTCAGTCAAGACCCGCCATGCGGCCGGGATACTGTGATTATAGCCTTGGGGGGAGGTGTGATTGGAGATTTGACCGGATATGTCGCAGCAACCTACATGCGAGGCGTGCGTTTCGTCCAAGTGCCGACGACGCTCCTGGCCATGGTGGATTCTTCGATTGGAGGGAAAACCGCTATCGACACGCCGTTGGGAAAGAACTTGATCGGGGCGATCTGGCAACCGACCAGGATCTATATCGACCTCGAGTTTTTAAACACTCTCTCCGAGAGGGAATTTATCAATGGCATGGCGGAAGTTATCAAGGTAAATCACGTCGAATCTTGGGTTAGGATCCTTGCTCACAGCCGTACAGACCGCGGCTATCTCTGACGAAAACGAGTTTACGGCCCTCGAAGACAACGCCGAAATAATATTGAAAGCTGCGAAGAGCAAGCCAGGTAGTGGTCGGTTTGATGGCATTCGAGAGATCCTCAAGCAACGAATCCTCGCCTCAGCCAGGTACAAGGCGTACGTTGTCTCAGCCGACGAACGCGAAGGTGGTCTACGAAACTTGCTTAATTGGGGCCACTCCATCGGCCATGCCATTGAGGCGATCCTGACTCCACAGATCCTGCATGGCGAGTGTGTGGCCATTGGCATGGTTAAGGAAGCTGAGCTCGCAAGGTACCTTGGCATCTTGAAGGGGGTTGCTGTCGCACGCGTTGTCAAATGTCTTTCGAGCTACGGGCTCCCAACTTCCCTAAAGGATCAACGAGTTAGGAAACTCTCTGCTGGAAAGCATTGCTCTTTGGAGCAAATCATGGCCAATATGGCATTGGACAAGAAGAACGACGGTCCAAAGAAGAAGATCGTTCTTCTATCGGCGATTGGACGAACCTATGAGCAGAAAGCAAGCGTGGTGGCTAATGAGGCTATCAGAGCGGTTTTGGCGCCTAGCATTGAGGTTCAGCCGGGCGTTCCCAAAACACTGAATGTGACCTGTGTGCCACCAGGTTCCAAGAGTATCTCGAACAGGGCTCTCGTTCTTGCGGCTCTCGGTTCTGGAACTTGCCGTATCAAAAATCTGTTGCACTCCGATGATACGGAAGTGATGCTCAATGCTCTCGAGCGGCTAGGCGCTGCTACCTTCTCATGGGAAGACGAGGGTGAGGTGCTCGTCGTCAATGGAAACGGAGGCAAACTGCAGGCAACCCCTACGCCGCTGTATCTGGGTAATGCCGGTACAGCCTCAAGATTCTTGACGACGGTTGCGACCCTCGCCACCGCAGGTTCTGTCGATTACAATGTCCTCACTGGCAATAACCGCATGAAACAACGACCGATTGGAGATCTGGTCGACGCTCTTACAGCGAAAGGGGCCCAGATCGAATATATGGAGAGGACGGGTAGCTTGCCGCTGAAGATTGCTGCCTCTGGCGGATTTGCTGGTGGGAGAATCAATCTCGCTGCAAAGGTGTCCTCTCAGTACGTTTCCTCACTGCTGATGTCTGCACCTTATGCCAAGGAGCCGGTGACTCTGAAGCTTGTGGGTGGCAAGCCGATCTCTGAGCCTTATATTGACATGACCACTGCGATGATGCGAGCTTTCGGTATAAACGTAGAAAAATCTACAACCGAGGAATACACTTATTACATTCCCCAGGGCACTTACACCAATCCGCCAGAATATGTTGTGGAAAGTGACGCTAGTTCCGCCACGTATCCTCTGGCAATCGCAGCAATAACGGGTACCCGTTGCACGGTTCCGAACATTGGTTCGAAGTCTCTTCAGGGAGATGCGCGCTTTGCGGTCGATGTCTTGAGACCAATGGGCTGCACAGTTGAGCAGACGGGGACTTCGACGACGGTGACGGGCCCTTCGGATGGCATTTTGCGACCACTGCCCAACATTGACATGGAGCCGATGACGGATGCTTTCTTGACAGCTTCTGTTCTTGCTGCTGTAGCCAGAGGTGAGGGATCGAACCACACGACACGGATTTACGGAATCGCAAATCAACGGGTTAAGGAGTGTAACCGTATCAAAGCTATGAAAGATGAACTGGCTAAATTCGGTGTGGTTTGCCGTGAGCACGATGATGGTCTTGAGATTGACGGGATCGATCGGTCGACTCTACGACACCCTGAGGAGGGAATCTTTTGCTATGATGATCACCGTGTTGCGTTCAGCTTCAGTGTTCTAGCCCTGGCCGCTCCCCAACCGACTCTCATCCTTGAGAAGGAATGTGTTGGTAAGACGTGGCCCGGCTGGTGGGACACGCTCTCACAGATTTTTGGAGTAAAACTGGAGGGCAAGGAAGTGGTAGAAGACAGCAAAACATCCGGGACTGCACGCACTGACCGGTCGTCTGCGTCCATCCTCATCATCGGCATGCGCGGTGCTGGCAAGACCACAAGCGGACGCTGGATCGCGAAAGCCCTGAATCGTCCCTTTATCGATCTCGACATCGAACTGGAAACTCGGGAAGGCCAGACGATTCCAGAAATCATCAAGGAACGAGGCTGGGAAGGTTTCCGAGAAGCGGAATTCGCTCTACTCCAGCGTGTGATTGCGGAGCACCCTACCGGCTACGTCTTCGCGTGCGGAGGTGGGATTGTCGAGACACCGGAGGCGAGAAAGTTACTCATCGACTACCACAAAAATAAAGGAAACGTTCTCCTTGTCATGCGGGATATCAAGCAAGTAATGGAATTCTTGCAGATTGACAAGACGCGTCCAGCCTACGTTGAGGACATGATGGGTGTCTGGCTCCGCCGCAAACCATGGTTCCAGGAATGCAGCAATATTCAATACTACAGTCAGCACAGCAGCTCGAATAAGCTTGCGCTTGCCTCAGAGGACTTCACCCGGTTCCTCAAGGTCGTCACTGGGCAGTTGGATTCTCTGGCCATCATCCGGGAGAAGGGTCTGTCCTTCTTCGTGTCTCTCACATTGCCTGACTTGCGTCCACATGGAGACCTTCTCAAGGTTGTGTCTGCAGGGTCCGACGCAGTTGAACTCCGCGTCGACCTGCTTGAGGATCCCGATTCTGACAGCGGAATTCCTTCCGTCGACTATGTTGTAGAACAGATTTCTTTCATCCGCAGTCGTGTTGCTCTGCCTTTGGTCTTCACCATCCGAACGAAGAAGCAAGGCGGCCGGTTCCCGGATGACGCCCATGACGCGGCATTTGAATTATACCGACTTGCAATTCGAAGCGGATGCGAGTTTGTAGACCTCGAGATCACGTTCCCGGACGACATGCTGCGAGCTGTGACTGAGATGAAGGGCTACTCCAAGATCATCGCCTCTTACCACGACCCGGAAGGCAAACTGTCTTGGGCAAACGGGTCGTGGATCCAATTCTACAACAAAGCCCTACAGTACGGAGACATTGTCAAGCTGGTTGGTGTTGCGAAATCTCTGAATGACAATATCGCTTTGAAAGAGTTCAAGGACTGGGCGGAACAGTCGCACGATGTTCCAGTCATTGCTATCAACATGGGTGACAAGGGGCAGCTCAGCCGTATACTCAACCGTTTCATGACTCCGGTGTCACATCCAAAGCTTCCCTTCAAAGCCGCTCCAGGCCAGCTCTCCGCGTCGGAGATTCGCAGAGGCCTCTCGTTGATCGGCGAAATCAAACCCAAGAAATTCGCACTCTTTGGAAAGCCCATCTCGGCCTCCCGATCGCCGGCTCTTCACAACACGCTCTTTGACCAGATGGGACTCCCACACGAATACGGCCGCTTCGAGACCGACAATGTTCAGGATGTCAAAGACTTGATCCGCTCTCCAGACTTCGGCGGTGCCTCCGTCACGATCCCTCTCAAGCTGGACATCATACCTCTTCTGGATGAGGTTGCTGAGGAGGCTCGCGTCATTGGCGCTGTGAACACGATCATTCCAGTTCCGGGAGACAAGGGCCAGCCGACACGGTTGATTGGACGCAACACCGACTGGCAAGGCATGGTACGCTGTCTTCGGGAAGCAGGGGCATATGGCTCTGAGGGCGACGTTAGTGCACTCGTTGTCGGCGGAGGAGGCACGGCGCGCGCAGCTATCTACGCTCTGCACAGCATGGACTACTCCCCCATCTACGTCCTGGGACGATCTCCAGCCAAGATGAAGGAAATGGTCTCGACGTTCCCAGCGGACTACAATATTCGCATTCTGGAGGATGCCTCCGGAGTCGACGTCATCCCGCGGGTGATGATTGGGACGATTCCAGGCGACGGCCCCATCGATCCGGGCATGCGCGAGACCCTGTGCTCCATATTCGAGCAAGCCCAGAAGATCGACGGGGTCTCCAGCGGTCGACGCGAAGATGCGCCCTCTCGGGTGTTGCTGGAGATGGCCTACAAGCCTGCGGTGACGCCTCTGATGCAGCTGGCGAAGGACGCGGGCTGGGTGACGGTGCCGGGTCTGGAGGCCCTCGTTGGGCAAGGAGTGTATCAGTTCGAATACTGGACGGGTATTTCACCGGTCTACGAGGACGCAAGGGTGAGTTCCATATCCTCTGCTGCCTGTTGTAAGTAAGCAACGCTGACTTCTCCTTTCTTCCTTTCCAGGCCGCTGTGCTGGGTACCAAGACCACTCCTTGAATGTTCTTCCATGATGATATATATGTACGAGAAAAGGAGGAATTGGTGAAGTAAGAAAAGAGATGAGAAATAAAAAGCTTATGTGACGAGGATCTAGTCAGAAAAAGAAAAGAAGATAGATTTCATTAATTCCTTTCTATTTACTAGCAGCTTACATGATCAAAAACTATATAGAGAGCACGATCGTCCACAGCTTTTCAACATTTTGCGACAGTTTCCGCTATTCTCTTTTTTTTTATCTTGTAGTCTTTGTTTGTTACTTACTACTACTCAAAATTTTCGTTGCAAATATTTCACTTGAGTGCTAGATTCCAAGAACAAGTTCTCTATTTCATCCTCCGGCTCTCTGAAACCATTAATAAGTACATACATGCAACTTTCACACACCGCAGCAATGGCAATCACGGAATCGCGTCCGGGAGTTGGGAATCCTCCCCATGCATCTGTCGAAAGAGCGGCTCCCAGACTGTGACCGCGCGTTTGGTGACGTGCCCATTTCCCATCTCGGGCAGGTTGTAGAAGATTAATTTGTCCGCGGAGCACTCGAGTACCTCACCCGCCATGCCCGTGTCGTCCTCCAAGAAGAGTCGGTAAGCATCTAGAATAGTCTTGACTGGCGTCAAACTGTAACAGAACCAGTTGTTTAGCGGGTAGCTTATCATTTCAAGAGACTGTAGATAACTCACCATTCTGGCGACACCGCGGCAATCATTTCCAGCGGGACAATTGGCGTAGAAACAATACCCGGAAGGACGCAATTCACGAGGATATTATCTTTTATATTGAGCAGCGGAGCAACCCCTCGAACGAGCTGGATGACATTTGCCTTGACCCCGCAGTATTCTGGATAGGATCGGTGCGGGAAGATGCCGCCGATGCTGCTGGTGACGACGATCTTGCCCGCCGGTCGAGGCTGGTTGTGCCGCATAAAATGCGTCGCGAGCACGACTCCGTAAATGACGCCCTTGTAGTCAATATCGGTGCAGGAGAGATCGGGCTCAGGAGGGATATCGTCGATGCCTTTGCCGCGCCGGTCGAGGATGTAGATGGAGGACTGGTCCACGATGCCGGCATTGGCGCACAGCGCATCGATGCGTCCCCAGAGCTGGTGCACCTGGCGAAACATGTTCGCCTGGCTCTGGTAGTCTGCTACATCGGCCTGGAAAAACAGCGCGTTCTCGCCCAGGCTCTTCACTATGTCTTCGCCCGCCTGCCTCCGGCGACCAACACAGGCGACTTTCCATCCATGTGCGTAGAGAGACTTCGCAATGTCTATTCCTGTGCCTGACTGCGGTGGACATTTATCAGTGTGGTTTTTGATACAGATCTCTCTCTTGGTTTTTCTATGTTTCTGCGTGATCACAACTCACCGTGGCACCGGTCACAATGGCGACTCGATTCGGAGATCGATCTGCCATTTTCCCATCCGTCATGTTATGGAATTGATCTGGATTTATGTCGTCTGAGAGAACGACAACACGACAAGGAAAATGCTGTCTGAGAGGGTAAGCGTTAAGCACGAACAATAAGTATTAAGGAGGATAACAGTTGAACCCCCTTCTTTGCGGGGTGATCATCGCGATCAACAACTATCCAATGTGATATTTACCAGGGTCCACAGCGTTCTGAGTGATGAAGCTCTCTGACGGCAAAGACATCCCTGCTAGTGCACGCCTGGCTTGATTTCCGTGGCCACTACGTATGGCGCAGCCAAGAATCAGTTTGACCTCGACATGGGCATTTCAGGGTATGTCGTTTGCTTACCCTGCCGCTGACGTGCACAAGGTGGCGGATGCGAGTCTCGGTTGGGACAGCCGACATAAGAATCCGAAACAAGAGTACTACTGGGCAGAGGTCAGGGACGCCATCATCAAGCCGGTACTGGAGGCGAATAGGTTTCTCAACAGGGAGACGAGCAAGGTCTTGTTGCATGGAGACCGTGCTCTGGATAAGCAATTTCAGGCGGTTTTGAGGGAAGCTGTGGAGGGGGTGTTGCCAAACAAATCGGCCATTTTCGCGCTGGATCCGGTCTATTCTGCTGCAAGGGGGGCAGCGGTGATGGCTAAACGGGTGTATTGGACTTATAATAGCACCAACCATGTCGAGAGCTATGTCAATGAGGGATAGACGGTTGTCTATTTAAGGAACTTTCCCCAGTACATACAACTTCTCTTTTCGTGAGTTGCCTTCGAGTCTCTGTTTTGTCTGCTCGACTGGTTTGAAGAGAAAGTCCTGTCGATGAAGATTTCGTGAATTTGATGTTGATATGCTCATACCCAAGAATGAACCGGATATTTCGAAGCTTGATGTATTATATCAATAGCCACAACAAACCAAGATAGGTAGATAGCTGCAGTTTTGCGATAGCTACCAAGCCAGGTATGAGGGGCTAAGTACGGAGTATCTTATCGGGACAACGGACCCATCCTGATTTAGAATTTTAGATGCAGATAAGAGATTACGGAGTCCACTTCCACAGCCTATCGAGATCGAGGATCCATCCGGGGCTCGATAAGACATCAGCCCCACCAAAGAAAGTACTCCATACTAATGGATATACATACTCTATACAATCAGTCAGAGAGATTCGTCTTTCCTGCTCGTAGGTGTAGGAGTCACGCTCTCCCACCTACCTACCTATCCTCCTGACACAATACCAGTAGAGGACGGTATAATAATAGTATATAATAAGGGAGTCGACCAGTTTCTTTTATTTTCTATCGCGATTACAAGGCATACCCGATTATCGGCCAGGTTTCAAATCTTATCTGACTAACCTCGGAAAGAGCCGGTAATATATAGGTACCCCTGCATAGCCTGTGCTGTGCATGAACAGCATGCTGCATAACAATCATGCCCAGGTCAATAGTAATATCTCGGCCGGAGCGAAAGAAATAGGATAGAAGTGAGACAAGACACCTACCTATCTACATATCTACATATCTACCTACCTATGTAGGAAGGCCTTAAAAAAATCTTTTTGCGCAATCAGCGATGCTACGTTGATAATCAATGAGTGAATAATGTATAGCACAGCATAGTTGCAAAACATAAAACGTAACCGTAACGGTAGTATGGACTTCATGATGAGCATTGCCGACAGCCGGGTTGCCCTTACAGGAAGGAAAAGGAAAACCTTCAAAGACCAGACCAGACCAGACCAGACCAGGTAGGTAGGATTTAATCCTTCCTTTTTTTTTTTGCGTTGCGTTGCGTTGCGTTGAATGTAACAACTTGTCGCCCGGGTTAAAATTTTTTTTCTCTCGCTCTATCTATTCTTAGAAGTTAATGATAGGATGCTTATCGATCAACCGGCCGGTCGGATTCCCAAGTCCGACCAGACCCGGCTCGGCTAGAGTACAGAGTAGGAGGCTAAGCCGCCAAGGCTGCAGGTGCTAAGCCCACAAAACAAAGTTTTACTAGTTTACTAACGGGAAAGCTTCTAGAATCGATCGATCGAAAAAAAAAAAGAAAGAACGAACTAGAGCAAAAAAATTTTTTCTTACCTCGATCCGATCGGAAACCTTAGCCAAACGCAAAAGCCGCAACCCAACACAACAGGCTTTTTGTTTGTATCGGAAATACATACATACATACCTGTGCTTGTAACTTTACCCCTACCAGGTAGCAAACCTGCGCCTAAACTAAGGCTGTGGTCTGCATCCTGCAGGAGGTATTATGTTCCATTCATTCTATGGAAATCACTCACTCACTCACTCACTCACTCACTCACTCACTGAACGAAAATAGTGCAACCAGAAAAAAAATTTTTAGCCATTTTCGCGCTGCAGGGTTTATACTACAAGCACCTACCTAGATAGGCAGGTACAGGCTGTGTCCGGGCGATTTGGATATCCAGCGTCCCATCAATTTTTGTTATTAGGCTAATTCACACAGCAAGAGCGTAAAAAAATGCCAGAAGAAAAAATGTTGAGAAATAGAAGAGCCTATTTTTGTAAGAGTATTGAGCTCAACAAAATTCTTGGTGACGCCGTAGCTGATGTTTGTGGCGATTTTTTTTCCTCTCCATGACCATGCTGAACGTTGGGCCCTGCTCTCTTCTGCATGTCTTTCGATTAGATAGATTTTCGACATGGGAAATTTATAATCGCTCGAGTTGCGGACTCGCGGCTTAACGGGCGATCTCGGATTCTGCTCTCGGGCGAACTGGCCAATTCTCTTCCGCTCAGGAAAAGCAAAATCTGGACTTCATGCCAAGGTCTTTCCTGCATGTACTTCAGTGTTGACGCTCAGCTGTTGTGTTCTGCTTGTATGTCAAGTACCCCAGATTTTTTTGCAGGATGGATCCAGACCCATCAGCACGGATGTGGCCTTGCGGATACCTATATTGTTGGAACAGGAAATATTTAGTGTTCTGTTCTGGACTTGTGGTGTACCCTGGAATGATGAGGCTGCAGATCCGCGCGCTTCGCGGGTTAGCTGAATCAGGAATGGTTCTAGAATGAGATTTCCGGTCTAGACTCGTTACTACTCCAGACTCCACAACACAAAACGGCCAAGAATGCAGATTGTGCTGCAGGACACTGGACATTATTACAGAGTACTCGACTCCAAGTCGTGTGTTTGGGACGAGGGCAGGTGGTAGACATTACGGATGGTTGAAACAGTTTACAGGAAACTGTCTTCACAATCGGAATCAGATGCCGATCACATGTGTTTAGACAGCAATGCATTCAGCTGGCATTATCTTCTCAGACTGTTCTCAATGCGGCGTTTCTTGGGTGGCAGAGTCAAGGCACTCAACCGACACCTGCTAGCGCAGCCGATCGGCACTCCCAACTCTTTCCTCCCGGTCCGAAATCGCTGTTATGCAGTACACAGCTTATGCTCAATAATATGCCGACCGGCGTCGGAATAAACGTCATTCAGGCTGAATTGTTGCAAAAAATGATGAAGTGTATATTACTCCCTGCCTTTCGCTGCTGTCTCAGCTGAACTCAGCAAGTCGAAATTGCCCCGCAGAGCCGCGAGACATCGGGCTGGGCAAGAACCGGGGTAATTGGTCGGCATCCATGGATTGCCGCGACATCGTGCCCGACGCGTGCCATAACAACAGCATCATAGTCATCATCCGTGTAGTCCGTAGAAGCTGGAAATTATAGCTGGCATGTGACCCGGCATGACTGCGCTCACCGGAATGAACGTCAACGAATTACAAATGTATCGGCGACAATAATAACGGATATGGATAGATACTTCCCGAGTCTCGCGACGTCTTCTGACAAATAGTCAGCTGACCAGTCGTCGCCAGATCAGCCCATACAACAACTGCATACACGTCGTCATACTTGAGTAATCGGGCTCACTCTGACCTCTTCCTCGGCTACTCTGCCCTTGGAATGCACGGGTGTACAAGATCAGCTGACCAAGACTCACTGACGAGCCACAACCAAGCTTCCAACAGTACGGAGTAGTCTGTACAGAAAAATTGGTGCCTACGGAGTACAGGAACCGTGGCTTGACGCGATTCCATCCTGCAGATCCATGCTCGGCTGGATATGCTAATGATGAATAAAGATCTGATCTGATCGACAATGGATTGTGGCTGTGCAGTAGACAGCGCTGTCTATTCGCTGCCAGTCTGTTGGGAAGCGACCGTGACGCTTGCCTGCAAGGAACCAGCCACAGCCAAGATATGCATGGAAAAAGTTTTTTCTTCAGGGAAGCTGCAGTGCACTGATGCAGGCCAGTCTCGGGGTTGGCCGACAGCCAATCACATGCAAGCCGAGTGTGGCTGGTGCCCTCCCCCTTCCGTGCGCGAGTGCCGGCCGGAGGAATGTCGGAGAATCGGAATGGACAACGAAGTGTGGCTGATGCAGACAGAGATTTTTCACCAGCCACAGGAAGGTGCCGGAAGCAACTCGGCCGTGACAGCCGGCGTGGACAGCGCTGATTGGCCATGACTCATGGAGCCTTGCCAAGACAGGCCTCTCTGTCAGCACGGCGGTCCGCGCAGATCAATACCGCCAGCCGGTGTGTATCGTAACAGTGCTGTATCGACGGATACGCCCGGGGCTGGCGAACGGCGGCGTTACCGATCATCCCGTAAGCGCGAGTCTTGACGCTTAGTTTGCATGTCATGCATGCATGCAGCACACCTGCCAAGTACAGGCTCTGCGTCATAGCATCCATCATAATAATAGAACCCCGACAACCGCTTCTTATTTCTGCCCATTCCACCCCCCGGTTCCGTCATTCGAAAGGAAGCAAGAAGAGCCATTTTTATTAATCACAGTCTCTGGCATCATCATTGTTCAAAGCAATTTTTCCTCAGTCGTTGCCTTGCCATTGCTTTCTGGTCCGTGCCCCTCCTACCCAACCAGGATTTGGAATCAGGCACGCAGCCATCCGTTTGCCTACTTTCGGTCGAGTCAGAAACCAAAAAGAAAGACGACTCGTCTCATCATCGACTTACAAAGACATTGCGCCCGGTTGTCGTCTCGGATTTAAACTTGACTCAGCCCGGCTCTGCTGTCGCGTGGCCTTTGTCTTGCCGGAGCTTTCCAGAGCGTTCGATGGCTTGCCAGTAGATTGTCTGCATAAGCAAGCACGCAACCTCTACAAGACTTGATTTCCGCTGCGACCTTGCACGGCCACGGTCAGGTCAGTCAGCAAGACAGGCTTATCGGATCTGTCGTGGTTGTGGACGCTGACCCACGGATAGCCCTAGCTCAAGGAAAACCTTCCCGCCAGTGCGCCGACTATATATTAGGAAGACGCCCCTCCCCGGGTGGCGATCCCTCGTCCTCGCCTCGTCCTCTTGGGTACCCACCTGCTTACTCTGACGTCTCCTTACCCAAACTATGCTTGCGCATCCTTCTGTACGTAACGATCCCATCACACCGTGGCCGCGTCCCATCAACCACCTCCTCCTCCTCCACAACAACACCTCCGCCAACCTCGACAACTCCATCCAGATACAAGACAACCAACTCCCTCCCGACCTGCTTCACGACATCCACCAGCAGCAGGCTCTGTTTCAGCATCAGCAGCAGCTTCTGGAGTCGCCGTTCCAGTCGCCCGACCGTCTTGACCACTTGTCCTCTCCGCCGTCATCCGCCTCGGCCTCTCCCATCTTCTCTTCACCAGCCTTCTCGTCGCGATCGCCCGCCACGGCGATCTCGAGCGACTTTCCGACCGTCCTTGACGGCGGTCTGTTTGAAACCCCATCGTCCATGAGCGCTACGTCGTCATTCAACCCGTCCATCCACATTCAGCCTTCGACCTCGTCGCCTTTTTCTACACCACAGTTTGCAACCGGTTCGCCGATGTTGGCGCAGCACGGAATCGCATCGAATAATCACGGCTGGGACGGCGACGCCAACATCCAGCTGCTTAGTCCGGCCAGGGCGCAGGGCGGTCTTGCACAGCGATCAGGCCTGCAGGGTGGTGCGCATAAGAGGGCATCATCCGGCTCCTCCGGCACGACGGATTCCACTTCGCCACAGGCTGCTGCTGCATTCAACCACAACCAGAACTCGTCGTCCTTCTCGCCATCCACGACGAATCTGAACGGGTTTACTGACAGCTATCAAAATTCCAACAAGGCGCTGCCCACTCCAGTCCAGACGCCCGTGCAGAACTCCTTCCTGGCAGCACCCTTTCAGAACTACGACCCGTCCTCCCAGAATGGTGACAATGCCGAAGCCGAGAGAGCGATGAGACAGGCAGTCATGGAACAACAGCAGCAACAGCAGCAACAGCAACAGCAACAGCAACAACAGAATTCCCAACAACAGTCTCAACAGCTTCCGCAGCAGGCAGCAGCGGATGACGAGGCGTTCCACTACTCCATGGCGCCGTCAGCCTCCAGTCTGAGTCACCACAACTCCCCGGTGACCCCGCAGACGACATACGACGACTTCGACGATGGATCCAAAGCAGTTGTCCGTGGTGAGGACCGATCTCCTGACTTTGACCGGTGGATGGATGAATACTTACAGCTCGATACACGTTCAGACTTCAACAACGGCCAAGGCGCAGCGACGGTACCCATGGGGGTACCGAAGCTGAACCGGACGATCTCGGATATCTACCAAGACGAGCTGTACAACGCTACCGTCGTTCCCACGCCGCAGCAGGCTCGCAAGCCAAATCCGAGCCAGGCCCAGACCACCCAGCCCCATGGTGGCGCCCTATCGCAGCCTATTCGCAGACCGTCTCCAGGCTGCCAACCGGGGCCACCTGTCGGCACGGTCGCAGTCGCCTGCCAACAACCGGGAGCGGTCGCCTTTCCGTCAAGGCTCCCCCCTGGCACCTGATTTCCGTGCCGCGCGCCTCCAGCAGTCGGGTCTCGCGTCCACCATGCAGTTGCCTCATACCAACGGCATGGACCTGGGCAACCAACCGGACAACCAGGGAGAACCCAAAACCATCTCTCCCAAAGATGCACTGTTGGAGTACCACGAGGGCCCAGAAGACACTGCTATGCCATCGCTTTTCCCTACGAGCCAGGCAGGGCCCGACTACCCTGTCGGCGGCAATGGCGGCGGCGGCGACAACTTCGACTTACGTCGGCAGAATGCATCTTCATTTCAGCCTACGCAGAACTACTCGCAAATAGAGTCCTTCCCCAGTCAATATACGCATCAGGCCGCCGGTTTGCAGCAGCCATTCAACTTCATGCAGCAGCCTCAGAATCTTCAACAGCAACAGAACAACCTGATGCAGCAAACGCCTAATTTCTCGGCGTCACTGACCACCACCACCGAGGCGACTCCCTCTACTGCTGCACCGGTGCAGCAAACCCAGGCCGAAGCGGCCAGGCGACCTGATGACACCTCGTCAGACTCTGGCACCTACACCTGCACCTATCACGGTTGCACGCTACGCTTTGAAACGCCCGCCAAGCTCCAAAAACACAAACGGGAGGCACACCGTCGAGACGACCATGGCAGGTCTGGCTGGCCGTGACAGTCATGGCAATCCTATTCCCGTGCGCAACTCCCAAGCTGGTCCCCACAAGTGCGAGCGGATCAACCCGTCAACGGGCAAGCCGTGCAACTCGATCTTCTCTCGGCCCTACGACCTGACACGACACGAGGACACCATCCACAACGCGCGCAAGCAGAAGGTGCGATGTCATCTGTGCACGGAAGAAAAGACCTTCTCGCGCAACGATGCGCTCACCCGACACATGCGCGTGGTGCATCCTGACGTCGATTGGCCTGGCAAGCAACGGCGCAAGGGCAGAGAGTGAGGGGTGCGGGGAAGCCACTGAGGGGGGCGCGCATTACAGAAGGATGTGACCACTTACGACGCGATGCCGCAAGCCATCTGCGTACAGCAGGGCCGACTTGTCCATATCAAAGAAGGGAGATGTTTGTGCAATTGGCCTATCACTGCCGTGCTTGCACAGCGAGGCGATGATGGGACCATGACGGAGGAGCCATCTCCCATCGACGTCATCCACTAAACTGGCTATCCTGGCTAAACCCTTTTGGGAAAGGACCGTCGCTCTTCCTCGGCCGGATCAGCAGGCCACCTTCCGGATTGGGCACACAGCCTTGCAGCCTGACGGATGCGCAACCGCAATGACGTCACTTGCGGTCTCCCTTCGACACATACAACTGAGTTCGGACGATGTCAAATGAATGCCGTGTCGAGATCTGAACCGTTGTTTTGCTGCGCCCATGACAGACCTCCCGGGCAACTCCCTTGCACGGATCTGTGCTGTCTCCACAGAAGGCTGGTCAAACATGTCATATCATTCCCCGCTTCATTTTTTCGTTACTCGTGTTTTTCCCTAGACTAATGACTGTTTCATGCCTGTGCTTTCATCATTACTAGACGGTTGCCATGACGATCCTTGGTTTTCATCTCGTTTCGTATTGAGATTCGGAAAGCGTTTTGTTTTGTTCCCGTACTGTTTGGTTGCTGTCATTACCGGGATCTGTTTGGGATGATGCTTCGCTAGTCACGCCCTTGTTGATGAGATTGATGTTCACATGATGCTGTATTATATGTACGATTGCTATGTCCTGCTACGTCATGATGTTTCTGCTGTTTTCTTTCGATTCTGATCTGTTGCATTTGGGCGGTGCATTTCAAGGGATTCGGTTGGGCTGATATGCACACATGCCATAGTACATAATCTGTCCGTGGCAGGATGCTCTTGTAATTTTTATGATCCTGTCCACCGCTCTGTACATTATGAGAACTGTATTATAATATGACTGGACAAGATAGATAGACTGTATAGTTGAGCAGAACAAAAGCGTGTTGCTTGTGAGACCACAGCCTTTCTCGTAAAGTCCGTACTCCGTAAACCGGAGGAGCGGTTCCGCGTGGTGCATGCAACTTGCATTGCATCGCGTCGACAGAGTGAGTACATCAGTAGTGTGGCTTGACTAGGTGCAGAAACGGCGGTGAATCAAGATCACTCGACTTCCGTCCGGTCAGAATGCTATTTTAGCTAGCAATCTCCACACTCCACATAGTCATACTAGTTCCATTCTTGCGGCTATGTATGAGGCTACGAGGCTATGAGGCTATGCCGCTATGACATTGACAATGACAAGCCACCTTATTAAGTTTACGGATAGATGATCCGTTGAGCGGGATCAAATTATCAATGGCTGTGCAGGCTAAAATAAAACATGAACAATGAATGGATGGATGAGGCGAGGCGAGGGGACTGATCTACATGTATTCGGTTTTTCCTAAAAATAGTAAATTGTAGAATCTTCTTTTTTTTATGTCTGTCTGTTTGTTTGTTTTTGTTTGGGTTTGGTTGTTTGGGTTTGGTTTGGTTTTGGGTTTGGGTTGTTTCAGTTGGATTACGTTGGTAGGTAGATAGTTCTAGCTCTCCATAGATTAAGGATATACTGTATGTGTACTGCCTATTGTATGGGCTATTTCTAGTAACTACAGGATCCTAGGTAGTTCAAAATCCAAGACACATTGTTTCTTTTCTTTTTTTTCCTCTCTCTCCCTGATGAGTTTGACTTTGTACATACAGTGCATGTGTATGTACTGTACATACTTTGCTATCGCATCATATCGCATCGTATCATATCATATCATCGACAACGATCAACGGCAAACCTGAGACATAATGTATGTAGGCGAGGAAGGAAGTGAAGCCTTTCTTTCTTTTTCTTGCTTCTTGCAGCGATAGTAGCGTATTGGCAATCATTTGAACTGCCAGAGCGGATCTCCTCGCTCTGGGGCTTCCATCATCGTCATCACTATCAAATCGACCATAGGTTTTGCTGGGTGTGTCTGTCGTGCGACCACAGGGAGTTGTGTGTATTGCGTCGTAGTTTGCCCTTTGCTGGCTACAGGAAGTTGAGAAACTTGGTGTTATCGATCAGATGAGATGGGTTCGTTGTCTGTAACTGTACTGTACAATGTAAATACGTATAGGTAGACTCGATGCTGATCCGGCCTGCATACTCCGTACAATAAATACTCTGCAGTCTGCTTCACCATAGTCTGGCGGTCCGTCTATCAACTCTTCTGAATCCTGCCAACGACGAATTCGCATTTCCAAGGTCGTGAGAAATCATCGTGGGACCGGTCTATCTTTCTAGTGGTTTTTGTTGTTAGTTAGGTACAATCCAGCCATGGCCTGCCCAGTTTGGAGCCAGTCAACTATCAACTATCAACCGGGAAATCAGTGGTCGTATGGCACAGTGAAGAATAGCCTAGAGGCTGGAGAATATACTCCTGTTATTGCTTATCTCATCTATGGAACGATCGTCAGCGCCTGACACCATGCTGATATGGTGGTCTCTGTAATTGAGTCCAAGACTCCTGACAATGATGAGGATGTTCTTGCTGTCAGCAGTTTTCCCGCCTGTAGTGAGGTAATGCCAATTTCTCTCCGTACGAGAGGTAAATAAACAGCCATCATGAGGACAACTACTAGGTTGGGCAAGTTTTCAAGTTCCAGGCATTTCTCCACATATCATTCTGATTATTCCTCGTTTCATTAGAAGGCTGGCTGGCTGGCTGGTGCCTAGCAAGCTGTGAACAAAAAAAAAAATATCATGCTCACACGCGGATTCGAACCACGGACCTCATGATAACCTCAGATTACGAGTCATGCGCTCTACCCCTGAGCCATGCGAGCTGCGATTGGCTCGTTGTGTCTTGGCTTCGAGCTTTTTGAGCGAAGAGGTGTCTGCTTAGTCAAAGTGTCAAGTTGGTCTAGCCTAACCTAAGTGGGAAATCAGCAGTCGAACGAATTGATTCCTCAGGCAGAAAGCATCGACACCTGAGACACGTATGCTAACTACGTACCCCTTAGTTACCTAAGGAGTAGATGGAGAAGGTGGGAGCAGCTTGCACTTATGTACTGTACCTCTCATTAAGATGGATGTTTTTTACGAAGAGAAAGAAATATAGCAGAGAATATGAGATTTAAGGAGGTAGAACGGTGCGATTCCTGACATTCCGACGCGTTGGTGTAGTATCTACGACGCGTGATTTGCTCTGAATACATAGTTTCTACGGCTGAGCATGGTATACTACTATTGTGGCGAAATAATAATAGGATTAAGCGTAGAAGCAGGCTCTTGTGATCCTTATTCTTATTAGTTATTGTTATTCTTGCCCGGACCGTCTGAGGTGTCTGTATTCCCTGGGAATCACCGTCTCTGATACCTACTGGTCGGAAAATCGCTATACTGTCAGGTCAGTATGCGATATACAGGAGATTGTCTAGGTAGTATCCATCCCTGTCAATATCTTTTTGGTCGCGAAAAAAAAAGTGAGGTTGAGTATATTGACAGCCTGTGCGTCTCTGCGCGGTGGTAAACTGCTGTCCGACTTGCGATTTGGCGTAGCGCGCGCGAGCCTACTTCTGGACTTCGCGACAAAATGGCCAGAAACGACTGCACCTCTCCATGACACAAATATGGTAAATTAATTTTTCTGCGTAGATAAATCCATGCACTTCTTGCGCTGTGTCTACGAGTCTACGAGTCTCCTCCGCTCGGATACGGTGTCGCGTAAGGTAGATGGGATAACCAGCACAGTATGTATTCCACCATCGGTGGATTACTGCATTGTGTCAAATTATAGCTTGAGTATATCTCTCCTCGAGTAATTATTTTGCAGTCATATTGAAATGCTGACAATGGGAAGATCAGTGGACAATACATACACCCATTCGAATGTAGCTGTTGTGTTCGGTGAATTTATATATCTTCACGGATGTCGGTATGCCCCCCTGTGCGACATACGCCACCTTCACTGACAACACTTCACACAAATGCCAAATAGAAAATATTGCAGATTTATTTGATAAATATTCATTATATATGCAATTAAACCATACATTGGGAGGAATTCTCCAGTAAAGACATGTCTTAACTGATAGATTGGGATTGCATTGCTCGGCTACGACTACGAGGTTCCTACCTCCGACCGTGTGCTGGATTCGTTGCGCAAACCGAACAAAGATGCACACAAACTACAATAGAATTATTCATGGCAGCAAAACGGGATTGTACTACGCAATCCGCATGAATAGCCGATAGATACGATGTCACTATGACCGAGCACATACACCAAGACTACGTATACAATACTCACTAGGCAGCAACGTCGACCTGACGCGTCTATACGGCCACGGCACACAAAAATTACAAGTACACTCAAATCCGTTGAATCAACTGATCATATTCATATCATGCGCGAATCGATACCGAACGCGTGATCTAACTCCAGTCCACCTGCATAAAACGGCCGCTATGATACAGAAATATGGCCCGCAGACCACCAGCCGAGTAGAAGTTGTAATAGTAAAATGCACAGCAAAAAAACAAATCCCAGACCCATTAGACGTGAAAAAAACGATTCAGAAAACACCCCGACGACCCAGTCATACCGTGAACCAACCCAGAAAAGCAAACCGGCGCGTCACTGCTGCGGCGAAACAACAGACACGTCGACCGCGCAGGATGGCCATATGAGAAAGAAGAAAAAAATGTTTAACCACCGAAACCGTAGAGAGTGCCTAGAGAATGTTAGATAAGATCGATGAACGACTGTTTTTGAGGATTGCACTTACGTCCTTGTCTCTTCAGAGCATAGACAACATCGAGAGAGGTGACGGTCTTCCGCTTGGCGTGCTCAGTGTAGGTGACAGCGTCACGGATGACACCCTCAAGGAAGGACTTCAGGACACCACGAGTCTCCTCGTAGATCATGGCGGAGATACGCTTGACACCACCACGGCGTGCCAGACGACGAATAGCGGGCTTGGTGATACCCTGGATGTTGTCACGCAAGATCTTGCGGTGGCGCTTAGCACCACCCTTTCCGAGACCCTTGCCACCCTTGCCGCCTATCCAGGACGCGTCAGTAAGCGTTGTTCATGTTGTAGGAGATCATCGCGTGCCATGACGATGATCCAAGGATAGAAGCTACTTACGGCCAGTCATGTTGACAGTTGGGGGTTGTTATTTAAAGATTTAAGGTTGTCTTTAGTGGGAGGTGGAGAGAAATTAGAAGCTGAGCAGCGGAGTTGAATGACGATGTAGACTGAGATAGAGATGGAGGGAGAGAGAGCCGGAGCTTCTGGCGCGGGAGATATTTCTATATGGAAGGGCACTTCGCGGGGACTCGCTGGAATCACGCGCTAGCTGGGGGATCTACCAATCAGAGCGCGCATGCCCGGCAGCGGCCTTGATCTGGCGCCCTTCCCTGTCGGGAAGCCCTGATTGCCTGGGTGCCGAGTGATCCTGCCTGAAGGGCGCAGTCCAGCGCAGATCAGGGGGCAGGAACCCTCGGCATTGATCCAGGGGAGCCCGCGACATGCCCTGATCCCAGCAATTTCGCCGCAGGACTTTGTCGTGGTTGGGATCAGGCAGGAGGCGCCTGGTATTCTCGTTCGTTGATCCTGGGCTCTGATTGGCGGCCAGGAGATGTCTCGCTTAGCGCTCGGCGCAAGGGCCAAGCTTCCGCATCTGGGCGACCTTTTGATTTTCCCCTGCCAAACTGGCCCGCCAAAATCACGCTTATTGTGCTCAGCTTTCGGGTCGCTTTTCTGATCAAATTCAAATCGCGCTAAGTCCGCCCAACTGGCGTGCAACGCACCCAGATCACCCACCCGCCCGTCGCCTACTACAAATACCTCCCCCCACCCACTTCCTCCGTGTTTCTTACAACTCACTCATCTCATCCACTCATCGTCACCCAGCGTCACAACCATCGGTTCCATCAAATTTCCATCACCAAACCCATCTGAAATCATCAAATAAACACCGTCGCAATGGCTCGTACCAAGCAGACAGCCCGTAAGTATCTCTTTTTCATCACCCTCAACCGTCGTTGTGGTCGGTGGCGCCGTATCGCGTCTCCGACCGTGACGCGCGGGTCAATCACCCTCACCAATTTGGAGTCACCACACTAACCGCATCACCTCTTGACAGGTAAATCCACTGGTGGCAAGGCCCCCCGTAAGCAGCTCGCCTCTAAGGCCGCTCGTAAGGCTGCTCCCTCCACTGGAGGTGTCAAGAAGCCTCACCGCTACAAGCCTGGTAGGTGAAACTCGACGCGCGTCACGTTGGCTTCCAGCAACAATCAACTAACAGCATCAAGGTACCGTCGCTCTGCGTGAAATCCGTCGCTACCAGAAGTCCACTGAGCTTCTGATCCGCAAGCTTCCTTTCCAGCGTCTGGTCCGTGAAATTGCTCAGGACTTCAAGTCGGACCTGCGCTTCCAGTCCTCTGCCATCGGTGCTCTTCAAGAGTCCGTTGAGGCTTACCTCGTCTCCCTCTTCGAGGACACCAACCTGTGCGCCATCCACGCCAAGCGTGTCACCATCCAGTCCAAGGATATTCAGCTTGCCCGCCGTCTCCGTGGTGAGCGCTCGTAAATAATCTCATCATGAGTCATAACGACTTTTTACTTTCGACTTGACTCTTGATCTCCTGGGTTGGCGATATGGGGGCTTTGCGTGTTTTTTTTCTTTATTTCCTTATGACTACTGGCGAGAAATGATGGGTTCTGCTTTTTTATCAATGGGTTACAATACTGGGTTGTCTATTTTTCTATTTGAGCACTGAACAGCAATGGTCGAAGAAACGGCTGGGTGAATAGGTCGGTCATGGGCGTATCCCATTCGGAATGTATATTATCAGACCAACTTTGTGGCAATAGACACTATTGTCTTCCACTTCAGCCTCGTGTTTCTATCTGCCTTTGCTATAGCTAGTCTCTAGGTAGTAATTCACTCGATTAGCGAGTAATCTTCATTTTCTGTCGGCTTGTGGTGATATGCGTGGTGTGATGCGGCACGGTCGCAAGTGTAGGCAGGAGTCTCGTGCGCGCTCAGGTGCTCTCCAACAGCCATCAACCGCGTGACAATCGTAATGACTCATTCAACTATTCTGCCTAGTGGATGCCTAGACTAGCGATAGGATTCTATCGTTACGTCCATTTTACGAGCAGAACTAATTTTTTTTTTTCGGCGATCAATCAGTCGGTGGCAATACGATGAGATAAGGATCAGTATCAGAATCAGGGGAATTATCATCTCTCACCTGACCATGATGTGTGGTGGCGAGGGGCCTACTCCGTATGTATGATTAGGTAATATACGAGGCAGGTCGCTGTAGAATTGTGAGCTTTACAATGCTTTTTTTTTGGCTCGGAAGAATAAAAAAGCAGTGTACTCTGTATGTGGTACTTCGTACAGTAGTGATAGTCCTGGGAGCAGGCTGCAGGCGCTGCTAGCCCAAATCACGTGGTACTATCCTAATCGCAGGTTATGAGATCGCGTACCTACCTCGAGGCTCGGGGGCAGTATCTCCACGTAGATACTTAACAGGTTTCTTAATTTGGGTATAATGTCTGTGTTTTCATGCTCTAAGTATTTTATTTTTAAAATTTTTTTCCCCGACATAGTGACTATAGTTGTGCGTTCCACTTGCCAGTTAGGAGTGTCGTAGGAGTTTAGGAAGAAATATATATTTTCACATTCGGGTCTGTTAAGCATTCCAGCACCAACAACGCGTTTTTGTCGGCGAAACAGGCAGTCAGCCATAAGGCAAAGATCCAGTCTGTATTGATACTAGCACTCTAGTAAACAGGAATAATCTAGGAAGTCTCCTGGTGAATTTGAGCCCATATTTATGCCTGTAGGCATACAAAGAGGTCAAAAATAGATCTTGTCTCTTTGTGCCAGAGCTCTGAGGTCTTCCGCATCCGGCGACGGATGGTGAGCAAACACAGAGATCGCCGACAGTTTTAAATAGAAACATCCCACCACTTTTTTTTTTTCACCATTTACAAGACGTACGACAGATATCTTTAATCGCAAGTTGATGGGAAGTTCCGGGAATAAACCAATCTCACCCTCGAAGCAGCAGGTCATGTGTTTGTGACAACAAACGGCAAGGAAACACGTCAACCTTCGAAGGCTCTTCCCCTCTAAGGATTTCGGCTTACAGTCAGTCTATTCCCGTATGATGATCTTTCCTCACGACTGTCGTCCTTAGTTCTGTCAGCTAGGATTTCTGGTTATTACACAAGAATCGATGACTCGATCAGACGTCCCTGTTCACTCGGATTAGGCCTACTCGACAGGGCAACAGTATGGCATCGGATTGGATTGCTGTCATTCAGACCAGGCGTGATGATGGATGGATGGCTTTAGGTGCCTACAACAATGAATTTTCCTCGCCTGTCCATGATCTTCGATTCTGGATTTTCCAAATGGTGACTACACTAACACGATAAAAATAGTTTGCATCTCTCTGCCATTACTCAACTGCATATCGACTGCGATGACGTGCAGCGACACAGATGTATGATAGATCACAAGGATGATGCCTGGGGAATGATCTAGAAGGCAGTGGGCATCTCCAGATCTTCAGAAACCAGACTGACCGGAGCGGGTGATCTCCGGTCGCTGGCTGGGCGAGTTGCAGTGGGCCTGCCACACAGCCCTGCGCAATCTCCCACCCAGGCTCTCCGGTGGAATTAATAATACTAGGTACTCTGTATTATTATTATTTCTGCTGAGCTTAAATCTCACCAGCTTGCGATGTAACGGACTTAAGGCAGCCGGGGCCGCCAACTCGGAGCAGAATCCTACCGGGCACCGGCCAGCTGGATCCAGCCCCCAACGACCCAGCGGCCGGGAGATTGGGTTAAAGCTGAGGAATTTCGTCCGTCCTGGACCTGATTAGTGATCAGGGTGACGTGCACGGCGTTGTGCATGAAAACGGCAGACTTATGCAAGTTGTGCACCTTCGTCGCCGCCAACCTGAAACGGCGCCGCGGCGAACCGAGGCTTATGACGCTTTCGACTGCCGGATGGAGCTCGACTGCCAATGGAACGGCATCGATGGCCGGTAACTCCGAGGCTGTATTTCCTTCCTCGCAACGGGCAGCGCCGCAGCTTGGCTTTTCTCGTATCTTTTTTTTCTTCATGCCCTGAAGAAGCATCCGGATTCGATGGTTCCTGCTAGTGTGGAGAACTGGCTGTGCATTATTTCCGGATCGATACAACCGAGGGCGCTGTCCGCCGCGCATTAGAGATCTGAGTTCATCTAAATGCAGACGCCGGAGCTAGCTTCTGCAGATTTTGCGCGTGGCCATGAGTGGAGATTGGGCTCGTATCTTGTCTGACCGTCTGACGATAGGATGATTTATTTAACCTGAGGCTCGTCCAGCCTTGGCGGGATTCCTTTCCAGGTTGTATCTGTACACAGGCAAAGAAAATTTTTTTCCCCTATCCATCTTCCACCAGAGTCAAAATATTCTAACCCTCCCAGAGACCTTCCTATCGAGGGGAACGTCGTTGTGCATACGTACGATTGAATCCTGTGCTGCTTCTACCGCTTCCTAATCCGAACAGAAAGAACAGCCAGCCAGGGACCGCCTACCATGGCGGCACGCAACACAAATGGCGAGGTCGAGAAGATCGAGCCTGTGAAACCAACACGAATCCCTTACTGGCGTATGGTCTTTGACCAGGCCGGTGTTACACCCGAAGTTGTCAACTACCCTTACCCCGGGTCCGGGACGGAGGAAGATCCGTACGTCATCCAATGGATCCCCAACGACCCTCGCAATCCCATGCTCTTCGGACCGGTGAAGAAATGGTTTATCACGATGCTCGTGGCGATCGCCACATTGGCCGTGGCTCTCGTATCGTCGGCGTATACGGGTGGTATTATTGAGATCATGGAGCAGTTCCGGATTGGACAAGAGGTCGCGACTCTGGGTGTCTCGCTGTTCGTCCTGGGTTTTGCTATCGGCCCCCTTCTGTGGGCGCCTTTGAGTGAGCTCTGGGGACGACAGCTGCTCTTTGTTGGGACATACTGTGCGCTCACGGCGTTCAACGCGGGTAGCGCCGGCGCCCAGAATTCGTGGACTCTGATTATCCTCCGTTTCTTTGCTGGTGCCTTTGGGTCTTCCCCCCTAACAAATGCGGGTGGCGTGATCGCAGACATGTTCCCTGCCTCTCAGCGCGGTTTGGCCATGAGTCTCTTCGCCGCCGCACCCTTCCTGGGTCCTGTCCTGGGTCCGATCATCGGTGGATTCCTCGGGATGAATGCGGGATGGAGATGGGTGATGGGCTTCCTGGCTGCTTTCTCCGGTGCGCTCTGGATCGCTGGCGGTCTCCTGGTTCCCGAGACATACGCGCCCGTTCTGCTCCGCCGGCGCGCTGCGAAGCTGTCGAAGATGACGGGCAAGGTATACCGGAGCAAACTCGATGCCGACCGCGGCAAGGTCTCTCTTAAAGAGGCGTTCGCCACCGCCTTGTCGCGCCCGTGGATCCTGCTGTTGAGAGAGCCCATCGTCTTCCTGCTTTCCATCTATATGGCCATTGTTTACGGAACGCTCTACATGCTCTTTGCGGCCTTTCCCATCGTTTACGAAGTCCACCGTGGCTGGAACCAGGGTGTCAGCGGTTTGTCATTCCTGGGAATCATGGTTGGCATGCTGCTTGCAATTGCCTACACGATTCCCGACAATAAACGCTATATCAGGTTGGAACAGGCACATGGGGGCTTCGCGCCTCCGGAGACTCGCTTGCCCCCATGCTTGATCGGAAGCGTTTGCCTCCCTATTGGTCTCTTCTGGTTTGCCTGGACAAACTATCCCTCCATCCACTGGATGGCCAGTATTGCCGCTGGTGTTCCCTTTGGATTTGGCATGGTTCTGGTCTTCCTGAGTGTGATGAACTATCTGATTGACTCCTACACCATCTTTGCGGCCTCCGTCCTGGCCGCCAACTCCGTCCTCCGGTCGCTTTTTGGTGCCGCTTTCCCCTTGTTCACTACCTATATGTACAACAACTTGGGCATTCACTGGGCGTCGTCCATCCCGGCATTTTTGGCGCTCGCCTGCGTCCCATTTCCGTTTCTCTTCTACAAGTACGGTAAAAGCATCCGTGAGCGTTGCAAGTTCGCCGGCGAGTCGGCCGCTTTCATCCGGAAGCTGCAACAGCGAAACGAGCCCCAACCTGAGCCCGAGGAAGAGAGGAAGGAGGAAGAGGAGGAGGGAGTCTTCGACCGCACAGAAGCGCCGCCGCCTCATCGTATCAGCGCTGATTCGAGCGACTCTGACGTGGACGAGCTGCCGAGAACGCAACGGACGCATTCTGTTGCGTCCACTCGGACAGGCACTACCATGTCCCGCGTCAAGACTGAATACGACGGAAACCCATACGACATCGACCGTGTCAACACACGGCAGTCAGATTTCAGCCTGCGGAAGTAGTGGACTTCCGTCCTTACTCTGATCTGTACTGTACAGTTTTCGATTCGATCTGTACATATATAATTCCCGTCCATCGACACCTCTACCTCCTAATCCGCATATCTCGAAGACGACTTGCATCTTGGCGCAATTGGTCGAAGGGATTGGTGTATATTATTTCACGTGTGCATGTGGATTCTATATAGAGCTTGTGTGTTCATGTTTGTTTCATGTCTTGAGGATACCATGCGATCAAGCTGTTGGGGTATCTGAGCAGGACTGTAATGTACTTAATGATAATGATATGTTAATAGAAAAAAATGAAAATGAAATATTTTTCAAAACCACTATCTTCTGCTATGATTACTCGACACTTGACTTGAAAGGCCATTGTCATGTGACACGGCATATACAGGACGGCCTCGCCGAGAAACGGAGTTCGGCACCCGCAGCGTCATCCGTGGGGTTGCTGACGCGTCCTTCGTTGGCGGGCGGATTGATAATCTGTCGCGATCTGCAAAGCCGAATCTCGTTGGGATTCTGCTTGTCGTTCTTTTTTTACCTCTATTTAAATTTCCTCTCACTTTTATTGCTCATCATGGCGTTCGTTATTCGTTCCATATAGATTTCTTTTGTGTAGCGCTTTTTTTTTTCCCGGCTGTCTGTCCTGCGATACCCTCCCTTTCCTTCCTTCCTTAGAACTTGGATACCAGATCTCGTCAGATTTGCGCGCAGTTGCGAGATAAATTTATAATTATAGAACGATACACAATACAATCAACTACCTGGTTCCATTCACGCATACTCCGTTCACATACGCACAAGTTAATTACGACGCTTACTGTCCGATTATCATCGAGGAGTCGTTTCGACCGAGAAAATCGGGGAATAGAGAAATAGACTCAACGCGCATATTGCTGACGGAGATGCTTGCTGTCCCGGCAAGACGGCCGGCATCCTCGATTTCGCTGAGATACCGAGTACACCGAACCGTGCAGCGACGAAGTAAGTCGACAGAAGCTCACACCAAAGCAGACTCAGGAGGTCTCTCAGAGAAACCTGCAGCAGGCGATCACAACGGCCCAGATGTTTCCTCGACCCCGCCGCCGCCGCCGCCGCCGCCGCCGCCTGCTGGTTCTGTCGCGTCCCCGGCCGGAGCAGCCGGTGCGCCCCTGACGACGAATCGATCCGTGTGGGAAATG